ACGAAACTGCAAAGGCGTTGAGCATGTCCTGTGCCAGCCCAGCCATATTGCCCACGACCACTGCTGCAACGAAGAGGGGAAAACTCTGCCATCTGATTAGATAACTGACAACCGTGCTCAAACCTCGTTCAGGACTTGCTTCTATCCCGGTCTGATAACACCCACACATACGCATGTATCTGGCATATGACTCTGCAGGAACACGCTGCTGCAACTGCGCTCTGGTGTCCTGAGCACGTAGATTGCTGCTGTTTTCGGTAGGTATCCTACCTCTAGCAGCGATGGCGTGAGCAACGGCGTGAGGTATCATCGAGACTGGACGTATTAGCATTGTGATGATGAAGGTGTAATATGTATGTGAGAGGGAGCGTATGCTTACGGATGAAGTGAATCGGGATCGATAGGATAGACATGTTGTAGCCGTTAACGTGGGGCAACATTTTGTCTTGCCAGTTTGTCGTCAATGGTCAGTAGGAGAAGAATAAGGGGATAAACATTGCTTTGGAGAGTGATTGCGCATTTGAGCCACTCAGATGCTCTTTCCTAGCATACCGGGTGGCTCATGTAAACATTGTTGCGTGTGAGAGTGAGAAGTGACAAGGGAGTCGTGCTTTCCAAAGAGGATGCGGTAGTGGCAGGCATCAGATACAACTGCTCACTAGATTGGATAGTCCGCTATAGGACACGAAAACACAACAAGACATGATGAAGCTGACTACATTCAAGTCTCTCAAGGCAAATTCTTAATAACAAACGGTCCAACGCTTCATACATTCTACATCAACAACCCACTTTCGACATCCTAAACATCATATCATCACCACCAAATCCCGTACAACTCCACTACTTCAAATCCTTTGTCCTCTCCTCACTCTCCCTGATCCACTTATCCAACAACTCCCTATTCCTCGGCTTAAACCCCACCTTGAAATACTTCGGCTCCATCGTCAAACTCGTCGGAAGCGCATTCGCCTCCAGACAACCCAGAACAGGCTCATCCCTCGGGTCAACAGGGGGCGTGAATTCAAATGCAGAAATCAGTCTGACAAACGCAGTAAACAGCTCGCGGTTCGCCAAGTGCGAGCCTACGCACATGCGCGAGCCAGCGCCGTACCCGTAGTGCGGTGTTCCCGCGCCGTCGGGGACGTCGAGGTAGCGCTCTGGATCGAAGGTCTCGGGGTTCTTGAAGTGAGACGGGTCGTAGTTGCCGGCGTAGGCGTTCATGTAGAAAGTTGTGCCCGCAGGAATGATGGTGCCGTTCCATTCAATGTCTTTGATTGAGACGCGGGGCAGGGAAATGGGGATGACGATCCAGTAGCGCAGGATTTCCTTGTACAAGGCAGTGATGTAGGGGACGCGTTCTTCGTCGAGGCAGCGCTCCCAGGCGTCGTTGTTGGGGTAAACTTTCATAATTTCCTCGTACGCGCGTTGTTGGATCTTTTGGCCTTTGGGGGTCGCCAGGTAAGCGATGCCCATGATGAGATTGCCGGGGACAGTGTCGAGACCTGCGGACACCATGGAGAGGCCGATGGAGGTGATTTCGGCTAGCGGTTGTGTTAGCAAATGCCTGATGTAGACAGATAGGAAATGGCTTACCTCTGTTTAGCTTTGCCTCGGGATCCTTGAGGATGTTGCCGGTAATGCATGGTTTGTCTGTGCCGTTCTTGATCTTCTCTTCCAGGATGCTGAGTAGCTTGTCCATGTATATGTCTCGCCTCTTTCGGAAGTGCTCAGCCTCATTGTTTTTGCTTGGAAGCAGCCGTAGCAACGGAATGTAGTCTTGCCAATTGTTGCTTGTCGATCTGAGTGATCCTATGCCCCTCTCCACATCGACGATCTCCTTGAGCAGCGGCGCATTCTTGTTGCCGTCAATACGATATCCGTAGTTCAGTGTCAAAGATGTGTTCAAGGCGTATCGCTGCCAGTATGCTCGGGGATCGAGATCCATTTCTCCCCCTTTGCTGTCCTGGAGAAGCTCCTTGATAGAGACGGTCGATTCGAGGTCGATAAGGGGCATGTATGACTGTACAGCAGGTCGGTTCAGGGCCGTTGCAGCGGCCTTACGGCGAGCTTTGCAGGAATCGTCCCACGGGGAAGTTCCAATTGTGAAACCTTGTGAGGAGGAGACGACTTTATGGAAGGTATGGAGCATCGGACGTGAAATCATGGCTGCTTGGTTTACGATCCAGAGGTGACGAATGGAGTCGAACGAGTTTGCAAAGACGATTCTCTGGGGTTTTCGTCAGGCTCTTTACTCTTGAGATGAATGGTGCTCATGCTCAGGATCAGTGCTTACCTTGTTTCCCATCCTCACCTGGAAGACAGGGCCATACTTCTTCGCCCATTGCTGTGCTACTTTTGGATGGTTGGTGCCAAGTTCGTACAAACTCCCAAGCAGGGGAAGCCCAGGAACTTCGGGCAAGCCTTTGATGTGTGGTTTGTCGGTTCCATACAATAGTTTATACAAGAAATATCCCAGTACTGCAACGCCGGCTACGTAGATAGGAATCGTCATGGTTGCAGCCAAGCTCAACGTGTGAGAGAATAGAATAGAAAAAGAAGGGAACTCGCGAAATTTATAACACGAAGGGCATCAACTATAGCTTGCAGCAATACCTACAAGATAGAGCTTGCCGATATCCAGCGAGGCCTCGCACAACTCAGGCTTAGATAAGACCACATCCTAGCCTCGGTAGCATAATCCTTTGTGTGACTGGACAAGATTTTCAGTTTAGTTACGCTCCAGTAGTCTGGCAATATGGAGTTGTTACACCAATCGTCAGGTTAGGCAGACGATCATGTTGGTCAAGGCGGAATAAGGCCGCACGGAAAGTGCGGGGAGGTGCAATGTAGGGTGAGGTCATCGCACACTAACTAAATTAGGAAGATTTCCTGCACACATTTTGACGACAAGTATTGGAGGCTAATGCTTAGCAGGTTGACACATCATCTTTGGGACAACTGCCAAGAAGGGGAACCCGTAGATGCCTCAACATACAACGGCTTGATTGACACACCATGCACGACTTACAACATCCCTGCTTAGGTGCAGTACACTGCTTACACATATGCTGTGTTCAAGTATGTTTTAGAAAAAGATTGATACGGAAGGTTTCCTTATACACAACCTCGCAATGGCTCTACTAGTTGGAGACTGGGACAGGGAATGCACGGGACAAAGATAGATTCCCCGAATGAGCCTATGCAAACTCCAATTTCAAAGCAGGTTCAATGCGGCCCACGCATTCGCCAAATCCAACAAGAGCTTCTTCATCATTGCCGCATACACCTCGAATAGTAACCTCGTCACCATCCTCGAGGAACGTTCTCTTCTCTCCTTGAACTGCGATAGAATCCTTGCCGTTGTTGCTCTGCTCTAAGAAGCTTCCATATGCAGCTGGAGTGGTACCACTGATGGTGCCAGAGCCCAGCAAGTCACCGGGCTGGAAGGGGCATCCGTTGACGCTGTGGTGTGTCAACATTTGAGGGAAGGACCAAAGTAAGTTTCGACCGTTGACTTTGGAAACGGTAGCTTTGCTGCCAGATGATGCTGGTATGCGTTAGTCAAGTTTGGTCTCGAAAGGTTCAGGAGTTACAAACATACTCTTGAGATCGATTTGAAGATTGATATCGTAGACAGTCTTATCATCCTTCTCTCTCAAATAAGGTAGTACTTCAGCATCATTCTCGAGGGCCTTTGTTTTGAACGGCTCCAATGCATCAGCGAGTACAACCCACGTACTGATGGTTGTGCCAAAGTTCTTTGCATTGAAAGGTCCCAACGGCACGTACTCCCATGCCTGGATGTCTCTAGCTGACCAGTCGTTCATGAGCACCACACCGAACAAGTTTTCTTCAGCCTTTTCAATTGGTATTGGCGTCCCTTGCTCGTTTGAGCCACACACAAAAGCTCCGAGCTCGAGTTCCATATCCAGCTTCCTACAGGGGCTGAATGTAGGTACCTTTTTCTCGGCCGTAGGGTTCAACAATATCTGGCCGTTGGGCCGTCGAATTGGGGTTCCCGAAGGTACGACTGAGGATGCTCGGCCATGATAACCGACCGGCAGGTGCTTGTAGTTCGGTTGCAGAGCCTCTTCTGGGCCTCGGAATATAACACCGCAGTTGTAGGCATGGTTCAGGCCGGCAAAGAAGTCGGTGTAGTCACCAATCTTGAAGGGGAGATGGGCACGAACCTCTTTGAGGGGTAACAGAGCTTGCTTTTGGAGAGCGGAGTTGTTCTGAAGGACATCTGGGTAAGTGGTGTCCTTGGAAAACACACTCTGTATGTACTTGCGAACGACAGAATGGACGGGGCGGCCGAGGGCAGCGAATGCATTCAGTGAGGGCTCTGAGAAGACGGCCTGATGAGGCTGAATGACGGAGAGGGCCGAGAAGCCATTGCCGGCTGCAAAGGCCTCGAGATCTAGGGCATGGTCTCCAATGGCAACTGCAACTCGAGGTTTTGTCGACGAGGCAGTCGAAATGACGCCAAACGGAATGTTGGCTAGGGAAAAGTGCGAACCGCGAGGTATGGCAAACCAAGATCGCAGTGAGGCCATGGCAAGATGTGTGGTGTGGTGTTTTGTTCGGATGGTGGGGATGATGAAATGCAGTACACTACATGCAGTGCTGACTACTCTGCGTACAGGTCAGCTCCAATGCGTCAGTGTAGTAGTACCGTACTGCCTCGCGAGGATAATATGCGATTGAGCTGTCGGAGTTTCCATAGGCAGGCGTGCAAGGATGGCCTGCACATTGGCAAAGTCAGCATGCCGGCCGCATGAGGACCCTCTTGGGCGCATTCGTGGTTGCCGTGCTTCTGGTCCGCTGTCGGCTTGTGACGGGATCGGGATGGAGGCGGGTGGGTAGGCGGGCCCGGAAAGATTCCGTCATTTGCCTGCGGATCGCCGTGTTGGATGCCCCGCCGCCTGTGGGCTGTGGGGTAAGCCGATGTGAAGGCTCTCCATGGCCCACCACTACTCCGCTTTGATCTCATGATGCCATAGACAACGGAATCAAAAGCCGTCCATTGCCGCATCGTGCAGCGCAGCCATGACCGAGGCGCAGCTTGATGCCTCCTTCACTAATTCCGTGGGGCCGTTGTACATAGATTCAAGAAGACCGCAGTGGTAGCGTGCCGCCGGGTCGACGCGTACCCAGTCTCTTACTACTTTCCGACAGAAGCAAAGTTGAGCAATTGACCCGCCTCTCACGATGCCGTCTACGCAGTTCGCGTTCAAGGAAAAGTACCGATACCAGAACGGCTTCAACTCGTACCATGAGTATGGACTCCCAGTGCTGCCCCGCTTAGTACAAGCTAACGGCATTCCAGGTCCGAAGCAGTAGAGGGCGCCCTCCCCATCGGCGCAAACTCACCACAAAAGCCCCCCTACGGCCTCTACGCCGAGAAGCTTTCTGGGACCGCCTTCACAGCCCCTAGGCACGAGAACCAGCAAACATGGCTCTATCGTATCTTGCCATCTTGCGGCCACAGTAATTTTGAGCCCCGTGAATCGGCCACATTCAACACAAACCCCGAGAACAAGCCATGGGAGCGGATACACTATATCCCAAATCAGCTCCGATGGGACCCATTCGACCTCGACGAGACGGTAGACTGGGTGCACTCTCTGCACCTGGTGGCTGGTGCTGGTGACCCCACAATGAAGTCGGGAGTCGGATACTTTATATACGCTGCAGGAAAGGATATGGAGGCCAATGAAGCATTCTACTCGGCTGATGGTGATTTCCTAATCGTCGCCCAGCACGGTGTGCTTGATATTCAGACTGAGCTGGGCCGTCTTATTGTACGGCCCAACGAGATCTGCGTCATACCGCGTGGTATTCGATACCGCGTCACGCTTCCTCAAGGCCCTGTGCGGGGATATATCCTAGAGCTGTATCAGGGACACTTCACCCTCCCCGAGCTTGGGCCCATAGGCTCCAATTGCCTTGCGAACGCGCGAGATTTCCAGGCACCAGTGGCCGACTTTGACGAAGACACGGAGACAGAGTGGCAAATCCTCGCAAAGTTTGCTGGCCACCTCTATGCTGCAAAGCAAAAGCATACGCCATTCGATGTGGTGGCATGGCATGGCCTTTACTATCCATACAAGTACGACCTCGGTCGCTTCAGCACAATAGGGAGCATTTCATACGATCACCCAGATCCATCCATCTTCACTGTTCTCACCGCGCCCTCGGACCATGCAGGAACCGCAGTTGCGGACTTTGTAATCTTCCCGCCTCGGTGGTTGGTTGCTGAAAATACGTTCCGACCGCCATGGTACCACCGAAACACCATGTCGGAGTTTATGGGCCTTATTGGCGGCCAGTACGATGCCAAGACTGGAGGAGGCTTCCAGCCAGCGGGCGCATCTCTACATAATGTCATGTCGGGCCATGGCCCTGACGCTGCTACTCACGAGAAAGCATCCAATGTTGAGCTGCAGCCGAATAAAGTCGGCGAGGGTAGCATGGCGTTTATGTTCGAGAGCTGCTTGATGATCGGCGTAACAGACTGGGGCCTAAAAAAGTGCCGAAAGATCCAGGAAGGCTACAACGCCGAAAGTTGGGAGCCGCTCAAGCCGCACTTCAAAAGGCCTGGCAAGAAGATTGACAATGGCGTCTCGCCGCTGGCGGCAGGATCAGAGGGCGACAAGGGACAAGTGCCTCACTACACGTGAGGAGAACGAGTGGCTGGTTGTACCTGTAGCAACAAAATGGAGAGTCCTGATGGATCTCCTACCGAATTTAGTACAGCAGTGTCGGTGAGATTCGGTCCTAGTGAGGATGCGTACTGCATTAGTTTAGAGCATGGCGCGTCGGCGGTGTTGGACCAAGTGGGCGCGGTTTCATGCCCCGCAGCAAACAGAGTGCAGCTTGCCCGCGCGCGCTGCTCGGAGTTTATGAAGACATTTTGTTCATGGATAGGGCGTTTAGATACTGAATTGACATGATTCATGTGCGGCACCTGTATGGCCAGACGTGCATACTAGCACATTTGTGCCTATCGACAGTGGAGGGGGCGACGTGTCCCAGGCCCGTCCAACTCCATGTGCCGATACGGCGCAGTCCAAGGGTCCACTAGCGTCAACAGGTGTTAGAGCGCGGGGCTATCTTCTCCCACTTTTCTCCTCCTCGACGCCGCTCTCTTATTCTCTTCATCCCTTCTCTCCTCCCTTCTCTCCCTCCCTCCCTCTTCTCTCTATCTTTCTTTCTCAATCTCCCCAATTCACCATACACAACCTTCATCATGTCTGCCCCCGCCCACAAGTTCAAGGTTGCCGACATCAGTCTCGCGGCCTTCGGTCGCCGTGAGATTGAGCTCGCTGAGAACGAGATGCCTGGCCTGATGGAGACCCGCCGCAAGTACGCTGAGGACCAGCCCTTGAAGGGTGCCCGCATTGCTGGATGTCTGCACATGAGTAGGTTGCCTCTACAGATTTGCCACGGCCAAAGGAAATTTTCTTGCTAACACGCGTTGCAGCCATCCAGACTGCCGTCCTCATCGAGACTCTCAAGTTCCTCGGTGCTGAACTCACTTGGACTTCGTGCAACATTTTCTCCACCCAGGACCACGCCGCCGCCGCCATTGCCGCCGCCGGTGTGCCCGTCTTCGCCTGGAAGGGCGAGACTGAGGAGGAGTACGAGTGGTGCCTTGAGCAGCAACTCACCGCTTTCAAGGATGGCAAGAGCCTGAACTTGATCCTCGACGACGGTGGTGACCTTACCGCCCTTGTCCACAAGAAGTACCCTGAGATGCTCAAGGACTGCTATGGTGTCTCCGAGGAGACCACCACCGGTGTCCACCACCTCTACCGCATGCTCAAGGGCAACGGTCTCCTTGTCCCTGCCATCAACGTCAACGACTCTGTCACAAAGTCCAAGTTCGACAACTTGTACGGTTGCCGTGAGTCGCTCGTCGACGGTATCAAGCGTGCCACCGATGTCATGATTGCTGGCAAGGTCGCTGTTGTTGCTGGTTTCGGTGATGTCGGCAAGGGTTGCGCCCAGGCTCTCCACAGCATGGGTGCCCGTGTCATTGTCACTGAGATTGACCCCATCAACGCCCTCCAGGCTGCCGTCTCCGGCTTCCAGGTCACCACAATGGAGAAGGCTGCTCCTCAGGGTCAAATTTTCGTCACCACCACTGGTTGCCGTGACATTCTGACTGGCGCTCACTTCGAGGTGATGCCCAACGACGCCATTGTCTGCAACATTGGTCACTTCGATATCGAAATCGATGTTGCCTGGCTCAAGGCCAATGCCAAGTCAGTCACCAGCATCAAGCCCCAGGTTGACCGCTACCTGATGAAGAACGGACGCCACATCATCCTCCTCGCCGAGGGTCGTCTCGTCAACTTGGGATGCGCCACTGGCCACTCTTCTTTCGTCATGTCCTGCTCTTTCACCAACCAGGTCCTCGCCCAGATTATGCTTTACAAGGCATCTGACGAGGCTTTCGGCAACAAGTACGTCGAGTTCGGTAAGACCGGCAAGCTCGACGTCGGTGTCTACGTTCTGCCCAAGATCCTCGACGAGCAGGTTGCTCTTCTTCACTTGGCACACGTCAACGTTGAGCTCTCCAAGCTCACTGACGTCCAGGCTGAGTACCTTGGTCTCCCTGTCGAGGGTCCTTTCAAGAGCGACATCTACCGCTACTAGATTTCTTTTTGTTCCGCGTTTGGGAAGTTTCAACACGACGTTATGATACCACTTCGAAAAAAAAGTTATTTGTCTTCAACGGCATAGCATCGAGCCTGGGGCTCGACGGGATCCGGTTGTTCAAAAGGCGTTGTTTTGCATATCATCTACTTGACCCTTCAACCATGGTCAGGATGAGGATGATACCCAGTGTAAGAGTGTGATATGGAGATGATGAACTGCGTTTCTGCACGCAGCATAAGATTAGTTAACAAGTCTACCCGTTCAAACGGAGACTGCATAATTCAGAGTAACGACGGGCCTCCATACCCGCCTCTGGCTTATACTTTGTTCATTTCAATATGCTTGTAAAGTGATGTGTGCTGGCTCAGATGTTGTAGGTACGTGCGCAGATCCAAAGCACGCCCCAACGATATGCACCAGGCCGTTTGTGACAAGCTACATGTGCAACCAGCCTCTAGCAGAGCTATCGTACAACTCCGAGGCGTAGTGCAATAGATGATTGCAGCTAATTTGAAAATGTATATGTTGTAGAGACAGCCCGTCGCGCCACCTTCTAACTAGCCCCACAGTCCCACCTTTGATTCCTCGTCTGACCTACTACGTCCTTGTACCTCTCGATCACCTGGCAACTAACATGCACACTAGGCAGTAGTTAGATATTGTTTTCGCTTGTTGTATGTGAAGTGTTTAGCAGATAGCCACAGAATATATCACTTTGAGTAAATTAAGACAGATCCTCGGGGAGTTACCCAAGGTTCGGATGGGGCTATGTACACTACTCTATACACGTGACTGTGTCTTGATTGGCCTGAGGGGTACCCGATGGATCTCTGAGGGTTGACTTTTCTGGGGCCTCCAGTTCAGGGTCTCGTGACACTGGAGAAGAATATCATAACGCATGTGGCGTCTAAAGAACAAGATGGACAGGTCTCACATTGCGGACATGTCATGATACAGAATGCCAAGATCCGAGCTGAGGCTGAGGCGAGCGGAGTGAGTGTTGTAGAGGTTCAGCCTTGCACTGCCCCATTTAGTAGCTGAAGCCTTCAACTTTGCTATCCAGCTATGCTTCTGCCTTGTTTCATTTAACTTGCAACGTACTTTCCAACTAATATTTCTTGAAGCACAAGTAATTCCTATTCTTACCATTTACGGACTCTGTGCATCTCTTCTTCTCACTACCCTAGTCAAGCTTTGTAGCTCTATACTATCAGGGCCAGGTAGCCTAGCCTCCAATCCCTTAGCCTTAGACCCTCTAGCTAATAACAAATTATTCTAGTGGCGGGTACAGATGGACAACTATGTCTACGAACCGATCGATCTCGAACGTCCCGCATTCCGACTTCTACAGTTACTACGAGGCAAAGGACCGGCCATCGAGTGTATTCTATATCAGGCCTACCTTGATGGCACCGATACTGTTCCGTACGATGCTTTATCGTATACCTGGGGCGGCACGAACAAAACATCGACTGTGACAGTCAATGGGAAGACACTTGGTGTTACTGAAAATCTATACTCAGCCCTTCAACATCTTCGCTTGAAAGATGTAGATAGGGTGTTATGGGTAGATGCGATCTGTATAGATCAAAGCAACGAAAAAGAGCGAGGACATCAAGTTCAACAAATGTGCAAGATTTATTCACACGCGGAGGAGGTGGTTGTCTGGCTAGGTCAACCAACGAAAGAAACCGATGCCCTTATGGACTCTCTTCGGCAACTGGAAAAAGACAGTTTAATGTATGTGCATAGACACTGGGATCTGGCACAGTGGACCATACTCTGGCAATTGGTTCCTCAGAATCCAGATTTTGGCCCACTTCAAGGCCTAGACATGCTCTTAAGACGACCATGGTTTCAAAGAGTTTGGATCTTGCAGGAAATAGCCAATGCGAAGAAAGCAAGTGTGCGGTGTGGCATCAAGTCTGTCAAAGCACATACCTTTGCCCTTGCTCCGTCGCTCATGGGAATCAAGCCAGAACGCCATTGTCAAGCTGTCTTGGACATTATGCCTGGCCACTTGCGGGAGGAGACCTGGTGGGGCGAAAGCAGAGACTTGTACAACCTTTTACTAAAGTTCAGAGAAAGCAATGCGAGCGACCCACGAGATCAAGTCTATGCCTTGCTAGGTATATCTTCAGACGCCTGCGACACCGATGTCCTACGCCCAGCCTATACAAAAGACATCCAGGCAGTCATTCGCGATACTTCGTTGTTCCTGTTTGGACAGTCAGATGTTTCTTATGAAACAATGCCAGAGTTCTTAGAGGATCTTACGTTTCGGAATTCTACATCCTTCTCAGAGTTTGTCCGAACGTACAGTGTGAGTGAAGTTGAACGTTTTCTAGTACGTCGAGGACTAGAGGTACCACTGTCAGAGGATATGCTCAAAGCTACGGCAGAAAATCGGGAAAATGGGCGAGAAATAATGAGCTTTCTTATCCAAAAACGTGGAAGTGAGATCACAGTCACAGATGGAGTAATCGAAGCCGCTGCAAGAAATAAGAGAAGTGGGAGAGACATCATAATCCTTCTTTTTCAGAGGCACGAAGTTGAATTTGAACTCACACAGCAAGCGTTGAAAATGATGCAGGATGCTCTTAGTGAGGACTTTGGGGAGATGTTGGCAAGTTTGCTAGAAGGAATTGCCGTTGTGGATATGGGGAATTATTACTCGGGCAAACTACTATGCATGATGTCAGAGGGAGGCTACAAGGCAGCAGTGAAACTGCTACTCGACAAAGGCGTAAGCCCTAACGGCCAAGGCCAAGGTCATTCGGTCACATTTCAGATGTCGCACAGAGGCCACAGAGCAGTAGTAGAGCTGCTACTAGACAACTACACCAACAACGATAGCGTGTATATCTACCGCCGTAACACCGCACTCTACGCAGCTTCAGCTGGAGGTCACAAGGCAGTAGTGAAGCTACTGCTAGACAAAGGTGCCGACGTCAACGCGACGAAGGGATTTCCCAATACCGCACTCTGTGGGGCTTCAGCTGAAGGTCACGAAGCAGTAGTAAAGCTACTCCTCGATAGAGGCGCCGATGTTAACGCGACGAGTCGAGTTCATCAAACTGCACTTTACGCGGCTTCAGCTAGAGGCCACGAGGCAGTAGTAAAGCTACTGCTAGATAGAGGCGCCGATGTTAACGCGGGGGATGAATTCTATCAAAAACCACTCTATGAGGCTTCATTTAGAGGCCACGAGGCAGTAGTAAAGCTACTGCTAGATAGAGGCGCCGATATTAACGCGAGGAATGATTTCTATAACACCCTTCTCTACGGGGCTTCATCTGGAGGCCATGAGGCGGTGGTGGAGCTGCTGCGTAGAAAGAAGCAAGAACAGCCGATTTGACAATAGAGAATACCTGCCACTCAACCTAGCGTTCAACAGTGACTATCTCGCCGTTGCTAATCTTCAAATGAAACAAGGGGTAAACTGCGGCTTGCGATGTTGATATATACTAGTGATGACACTATTTTCAACCACATTGCTTACAACGTTTATTCAGACCTCCTACTTCTACCTTGCAAGCAGTGTCATGACGATACGTATCTTACACAGACCAATAGTTGAACCCGTCTTCGTCTCACCGCAAGAGGCATCGACAGTCCGAACTCCATAATTACCTGCAAAGCGATCACAGAAAAGAATCTGAATTCGATACTGCTAAACATTGCATATCTTGCCTCTTTGGCACATGTACCAGCAACTGTTTCCTTCAATTCTAGTATATCCATGTTTATAACTTACATGCCTTGTCACAGGTAAACGTATACACAGCATATGTGGGGCGGGAAGTATACAACATGGCGTGCATGCATGCGTGTAGCACGTTGTACGTTGTACTGCATAAATGAAACAGCGGGAAGAAGTGTCAATACTTTGGCTGTGCGTCAATGATGCAGGTAGGAGTGTGTAGATGCTTTATTCTTGACTTGTGTGGGGGGAGGTACGTGGCATGGGTGAGCGTCATTGAATATGGAACATTGATTCACGGTTTGGGGGGAAGAGGTTTAACGGTATTCTTCGAGGGGATTCAAGTATTCAAAAAAACAGGTTTGTCATTCTATTTTGACTACATACAAAACAACATCCAGCTATGTTTTTCAACAACTCTCCACGTGAGAAGATATTGCTATTCACTCTCAACACGCTCAGGAAGGTAACATATCTTACCACACCTATTCCACCCGAATCCATAACCGCCATCCCCTTTCACCCCTCCCCTGTTTCTCCACCAAAAAAAGTAAAAAGTTACAACGCTTGAAACCAGTGCCACATTCACATCACGTGTTGCACCATTTTACACCTGACATGCATGTCCCCCCACCTTCTCCTTTTTTTACCCCCATGCCCCCTGTCTCACACAAACAAGCCGACCATGCAATGCAAGGTACGCGAAAACCAACACACACCGAACAAGACAAGTAGAGGAAAAAAGCAAAACAAGGCCAGCAAAGCCCCATGACTTTTCTTTTCCGTCCGCCATCATCACATGCACACGCACTTTTCAGCCCTCATCATGTCATGTGCATGCGTCCCCCCCATTACGCATACACATAACCCCAACCTACCTTCCTACCTAACCTACTCACGCCACACAAACGCCATATACACGTTTGTATCATGAGAAAAAGCAAAACAAAGGAACACGACAGCACATCATGGTCCCTCTACTACGTGTCACATAACATGCATTCAAACATGTCCCAAAAAAAACTTGATTACAATTTTCCTAGTATCTTCCTGACCCTAGTTAGTCCCCTGACCCCTTTGTCCCTTTCCAACTCTCGATTAAAACAAACTACACAACTGTTTTCCCTTCCAAGCCAGCCCGCACAAAAGGTAATATACGAATTAACTCGTATATACCCTGCACATGTGAAAAAAAAGGGAAAAAGGGATATGGCAGCACCAAACCCCCCACTCCATTGCCCGCCCCCCACCAACAATGCTAATGCTCGCTATGGGAAAAGGTGCAGTGAGAAAAGAGAAGAGGGTGTCACAGAACTTTCTCCTCATACACACATGCACACACAGACCAGACAAGATGAAGACAAGTAGTAAAGTAAGTATGAGTATGTAGTAAGTACGGGAGCCCAAACGGTTCCAATGTAATAGAGAGAGAGGTATCAAAAAAACACACACGATAAAGTAAAAACAACGATGGGGGGAGGTGCAAGAACCTAGCCGATGCTTTTTCTTCGTCGACAGTTACAAAATGAGTTTTTTGATGGCCGAAGAGTAAGACACATCAAAAGGGAAACGAACACAAGAGAACCACTACCAATGATTAAAGTTGCCAGAAAGAACGGGGGAAGAGAGAGATAGAGCGGTTTTTAACGAAGGCCAATAACGCTCTGAGATTGTGTTAGTAAAACAAAAAACAGCAAAAGAAGTTGGAAATCAAGGTAAACGTACCATTTCTAGCGTCCAAACCCGCCTTATCCACACCTTGAGCTTGCCCTCGACGCCTCTAACGTTCTCGAGCTCCACTCCCTCCCACCAGCAGCGACGAGCCGGTTTCCTCCAGAAGAGAAGCAGCTTCTGCGCCATTCCGACAGCGTTGCTGTTAGCAAGATCGTTGCCTTTGATGTCGGTCCTCAAGCGTGCAAGAGCGATACTGCAGATGACGGCCTTGTTGGGTTCGCCGGCACGGTGGCCCCATCGATCATCATGGTTGAAGCCGCTATGCTTTATTAGCAGGTGAAGTCAGATAAACACAACAGCGTGCTTACCCTGCAGTCAACATCTCAATCAGGTGCTGCTCAGTCGTGCCTGGTTCCTCGCTCTTCCGGAGTCCGGAAAAGATGCCGTCTTGTCGTAACAACGCTTCACCTGCAGCGCGCTTGACCTCAATCATCTCCGGTTGGGTGATGTCTCGGTGTGGCGGGATGGCATAAAAGTCAAGGTCTTCGCGGAGAACGATGATACCAGCGCGGTCCTGGAGCATGTCTCTTGCAGAGCCGTGCATGGGCTCGATAGGCACGGCTTCGGCAGGGTGCTCTGGCGTGGTCGTAGGGGAAGGCGGTGCGGGGATGGTCTGAGCTACATTGCGGAAGAACTCCAGCATATACTGCAAAGAATTGGGATCATACTGTGAAGAATAGAGATTGTCAGATAAGTATAATGCGGGATTGGAAAGATGGTCTAGGATCCTGGCTATTGTGGCCGGTGAAGCTGGGGGAGAGGGAGGGGACGAGGAAGAAGAAACGGGGGTACCAACGTCGACTGGATAAACGTCTCCTTCATGATAGGAGTTCATGTGGCCATCAGGAAGCAGGCCATTGGGAAAGAGCGAGAGGAGAACAAACTCGGGAAGGGTTAGAAGCTCATCACGCGACAGAGTGAATCGCGTGCCCCTATGTACTCGGTCAGTTCATGGTTGATTCATGTGGTGAGGCAAGCGCGCACCTCAACTCCAACGTAATGTTCTCATCAGATCCACCGAGCGTGTTGATGGGCGGGCCGGCGCTTGTTTGCGAGACCTGAGTAATGATACTCGCGGGACCTCCTGCAGATGCCATGACGTAGGTAAACGACTCGAGCGGGCTGAATCCTTCACTGTAAGGTGGCGGTGGTTCTCCGTCGTCAATGTCCTTGCTGCTGGAGCCGTCCTTGGTGTCGTTTGGAAGCGCAGCTTTGGTAGCAGCTACAGCGGCAGCCGAAGACGACGACTGGGTAAAGGGCGGCGCAGAGGTGAATGCAGGCGGCGAGTCGTCCTCTGGGGATTCTCGGGACTTGTTGCGTTCCTCGGCGTCCTCAGACGGGAAGTAGAGAGAAGAGAAGGGAGGGGGATATGGTGATTCGCCGGCTGTGGGTGATTCCGAGGCGCTCTCTGCGGGAGCAGTGACGAGATACGGCGAGGCAGACGGAGAGCGATTGCTGCGAGTCGGAGACAAATGAGTGACTACGGACAAGCCGTCTGGGTCGGGAGCCTGCGTGCGAGACAAGGTGCCGGTAGCTGTGAGAGTATTGGACGGCACAGGTGATGAAGTTGCGAAGGGGCAAGCGCGCTAATAGGCGCTGTCAATTAAACGTGAGCGCACGGAGGAGCGACTACGGGACAGCAGCGCGCATGGATCTACAGGCGATGGGCAGGCGGGGGGCAGCGAAAGGGTGAAGGAGGCGAGAGTGGACTTGCTCGGTCGTGCTGGTGGCAGAGGTGGAGCGGGTGACGGACAGTCGTCGATGTTGGACGCGGAGCCCTGGGTAGTGAGTTCAGGTCTGCCCCGTTTGGGCTTAGCACGGCCCACCAGCCTTACTCCAACCAGAGGCCAGAAGCCTGTCCGTACGCCATCACAACACCAACAGGCGCGTCGTCACATGTTTGTCCAGGCCGCAGAGCCGCCTGTCTATGTACGGTATGTATATACTCTATACACAGACTGCAATCGAACCCAGGATTGCGTGTCGTTGCATCCGTCTGCCAAATTGCACATCTCAGCTACTGTACTTACATGCAGGCTAATGCTTGGCCACGACACCCGCCTCATTTGCCTGTGCAGTGATGCGTCGCTTGTAGTCCTTTACTGTGCCGTCAAAGTGCTCAATCGTTCCATTGTCGCACACCCACAAACTTGTGCATACGTTCTGCAGCATCGTCACGTCGTGACTGACCATGAGCACACCGCCCTGGAAGTTTTTCAATGCGTCTGACAGCGCGTCCATAGCTTCAATATCCAGGTGATTCGACGGCTCGTCCAGCACCAGGATGTGTGGGTTCTGGAGGGCCAGGCATGCAAACGCGACACGCGACTTTTGTCCTCCAGATAGCAGTGCCATCTTCTGCAGACCCGTCATGCCCGTAATGCCAAAAGCGCCAAGATGGCGGCGGTACTCTTCATCTGCCTTTCCGTGGTACTTCTTGGACATGAATCCCACGGCGCTATCATTCAGGTCTAATGCGTCGACGTGATGCTGTGCGAAGAAACCCACGCGTAGTCGCGGGTTCTGCGAGATGATGCCCGTGGTTGGTTGCAGTGCGCCAATCAACAGCTTCAGTGCAGTCGTTTTGCCCGCACCATTGGGCCCGACAATACCGATACGCGAGTCAAGCTGCACGTCAAGATCTACGTTCTTCAACAGAATCTTGTCTGGCGTGTATCCAAATGTCACGCCGCTCATCTGGATGATCGGAGGCGACAGCTTCTCCACCTCGGGGAACTTGAAGTGGACAGAGTACTCGGCCTCGGGGGCCGTCAGGACAGGCATCCTCTCCAACTTCTTAATTCTCGACTGAGCTTCCGAAGACTTGGCCGCGTTGTAACGGAACTTGTCAATGAAAGCCTGCAAATGCGCCCGTTCGGCCATCTGCTTCTCGTACTCTCGCGCTGCCGTCTTGCGCCGCTCTTCTTTGGTCGCATAGAAGGAATCAAAGTTGCCACCCTTGTAGTAGTCAAGACGCTCAGAGTGCTGGTGGATAATGTCCGTGGCGACTTCGTTTAGGAACGCTCGGTCGTGAGATACGACGAGGACAGTGCTTGGATAGCTCTGCAGATAGTTTGCCAAGAACGTGATGGAGGGAACGTCCAACATGTTGGACGGTTCGTCGAGAAGAAGCAAGTCAGGTTCGCAGAAGAGGGCACGCGCCAATGCCAATCGCATTCGCCATCCTCCGGAAAACGTCTTTGTGGCAAACTGCTGGCGCTCTTGTGAGAAACCGAGACCAGCAAGAATACTGGCAGCTCTGGATTCAGCCTTATCGGACTCCATCTCTGCAAGCTTAGCGTGAATGTCACTCAGGGTAGTATCAAGACCCTCGCGCTGTTGGTCTAGTCTTGCAGCATCAGCTGAAGTATCTGCCATGGTAGCCCGCTCAGCTTCAATATCGGCAAGCTCCTTGGAGATTTTCTATGTAAAGTTAGTTTGTTTTCCCTGTAACCTTGGGCCTAGCAGCATACATCTTGTTCTTTGAGGAGATGCTTGCGCCACACATCGGCATCCAATACAGCCTGCAGTGCTGGTGTGTCATCACCGGTGATCTAAATAAAAGCTCAGTCAGCCCATCACAAAGTAGTAGTGGCATGCTCATTCTAACCTCTTGTTCTACGTGGAGAATCGAAATATGCGTTGGAATGGCCACCTCTCGACGAGAAAGTGCCCTCAGCAATGTCGATTTACCAATGCCGTTCTGACCAACAAGACCATATCTTCGGCCGTACGCAAGCGTCAGAGAACTGTCAGTCAGGATACGCAGGCCAGGCATAGAAAGATCAAAGCTATCAATCTTGATGTCTTTGCTCTTATTGGCGGAATCGCCCAGTTGCAGCGGGTTGACGGCCATGTAGAACTCCTCGTAGCTCTGCGTCTCATTGGGCTCGTTGAGAAGCTTCGAGGCCTCGTATTCGACATTCTTGAACTCCTTACGGTCCTGCTTGGCACGCAGTTTGCGTTCGGCTTTCTCAAGCTTCTTACGATCGACCCTAGACTCAACTTTGCGGGTGTTGGCAGACTCGAGATCTACAACACCGCCTGCTAGACCCATGGTCGACGACATGTTCCTCGAGGACCCCACGTGAATAGCCTGATCGAGCTTCTTGGCAGAAGGCGCCATCTGGCGACGCTCCCCGTTGGCGCCATTGGCTGAGCTCAAACGGGCAATGAACTTGTCAACAAGATTCTGGATGGCTGCCTGGTTGTCGGTCGAGACATCCCCGGACGCGGATAAGAGCAGTGCGCTCACAGTGGCCGCGGCTTCGTCCAGCGGTGAAGGGGCGTTAGGGTCCGAATCAGACGTGAACTGGTTGGCAGCATGCGTCAGGTAGCCCGCCGAGTACTCGGACAGGACCGGGTCGATGTTGGGGATCTGTGTTCTGATTTCCGACTCCATTGTTGCAGGATTGAATGGGAGATGGTGGATGGGGCGCTGTCCCACCTTGTCAATGTCGCTGGCAGTCGATGGGGGGAATGGTGGCGTTTGTGGCGAGAGGGGCACGCCCAGGAACACACGCCTTTGGTACCGATTACTCGAACTGCAAGATGGCCGGCGTAATAGCGGGGCAGTGGGCGTTCTGTGCTTATTGCGGTGCTACGGCACGTTGTCCAAAGCAAAGAACATTTTGACGTCGGCAGCCGAAAGTGGATTCGCAGACTGTGGACGGCTGGGCTGGCAGCCAATCAGCCACGACATGATACCAAAGGCTGTTTCTTGCATACGCGGATGCAGACTCGCGAGAGGCAGATGTGCACCACGTCTCTGCAGACGCTTCAAGCGGTGATGCGCTCCCAGGATTCTTCCGGACACTTGCATTTCTGCTATGTTTGCAACGAGAAGACGCACGTCACACTCACCTTGGCCAGTATCGTGCAACACACAACACGCATCGAGCCGCTCCTCTCCAGCCATACAGCCAGCCACACCAACCAAACCGACATTTCCCAGTGTCGACGACAGCCATTGTCCCAAGAAGGAGGGGCACAGCGTCCCCGGAGCGTTCCTCCGGCAAGCGTCCGATCTCTACTACGCCATGTTCCAACCACGGTTGCCAGGTATTTAGCACGTCAGGGTCAGTCGACATGCCGCCTTGGCCACGGCACACACTTCAGACGTGGACGAGTGATTGGACTTGAAGACGAGTGTACAGAAACCGCGGAGGCAGAGATGCTTGCCCGATGCGGACAGCACCTTGGGACAACATGTGGTGGCGGCCTCGACGTCCCGCCTTCACCAAGCTTGCAACCCATGTTCCCGCCCTCGTCGGCCGACTTCTCCACTCTGGGGCTGACGTGCTCTGTGTTTCGGGTATGATCAAGGGTAGTCGAGAATGATGCGAGCAGCCTGCACAGAAGCGCAATTGGTGCGTCAATCAACAGGCGGCTGTCTGCAATTCTCTCCGCCTGCCATGCCATGCTGCCAGCCCCCGACTGACACATCCGCGTCCTTGTCGGCGTGCGTCGGGGCTGGCATGGACGAGGGGCTTGGTGCCGCTCCGCGTTGTCAAAAAGTGGCCTGGTAGAGATGGAGGCAGATGCAGAGGCTTCCGTGGCTGCGTGGATTAGTGCTAGGCCCTATCGTCTCGCTGCCATGGCCAGCTAGAGCATCGCAATCGTACACTACACAAGCCGGTTATAAGAGTTAGGGAGGCCGCGATCAGCAAACAGCTCCACTAGGCCTGCAGGGGTCTCTCCAGGCCGTTCAGCGGGCGGCTACCAATCAGCGGCGGTGGTGACGGGCGTCTGGGATACTCGCTGGTACACTATATTTGGGTAGCTGGATGCGGCGAGGGGTACCTTGAGCCTGGCTGCTCATGTCCCTGATTGATGCTGCATGCTACGCTGCGCTAGGCCTCGTTTACCGCCTCTGCGCGCAACGTGGTGGTACTGGGCACCACGGCCGCCTCCTCATGACTCCATGGCCAACTGCCCCCCGTCCGCCCAAGAGCACGCTCACAGCACGGCAGCACGGCAGCACGGCGGCTCTGGGGCTCTGGGGCGGCCGTCGCACGCAGCCGTCGGTGCTCGCTGGGCCAGGCTTGGAGCTATGACGGTGCAGAGCAAGGCAAATGGCGTCTGTGTGGCCTCCGTGCTATGTTTCGACATGCCGCTATCAGCCCTCGTCGGCGGCTTCTCGCTAATCCCAATGGAAACTGGGTAGCCCTGTATGTAGATCCTAGCAGCACAAGCAACAAGCACTGGATTTCTTCAGTCTTCCGTCCGCTCCTCGTCGAGCTCCACCTCTCTGCTTTCAGCCCGCCGTGGTGCTTGTGCCGTCCTTCCTTTGCCTCTTCGCGCCGTAGTGGCCCCCTCCCCCCAAACCGCCTGCTTGCCGACCCCCGACTCGTGCTGCTGGCTCGCGATCCGTGATCAACCAGGCACCTTGACATGCCATAATGCTCGACAGGTCGTCACAGGCGCCTCGACGAGTGAGCTTTCCCCGGCGGCCTGGTTCTCTGCGAGAATGAAAACGGTTCCATCGGTAAATACCACCCTGCCTGCACCCATCTGTCCCATGGTCGCTGTATAGAAGACGCTACACGCTGCTGCATGGCACTTGTTTTGTTTTGATATATCACCACTCCTCTGCTGCCGCGGCTCGGGACCGCGCAGCTGCACTCTCCTCGTCCCCGCCCTGTTTTGCTGCCATTTGTACTGGCCACTATGACTGATGCATTCGTGTGATACAGCTCTGTGCCACTGCCACTGTCGTTGGTGCATCCGCCGTTGGTCTCTCGTTTGGACGGGAGACGCCGAGCAACTCCTCCCCATCCACCCACCCCAACACCAACACCAAAGAGGCTGCGCCAGCACGCCCTTTGCCCACCCATTCTATGCCTGCTGCTATGCCCACCACTGCGCCGTCTTTTGGTGGCCCTGTGCCTGTCGCGCCTTCTTCACATGTACCGCTTGCGAGTCGACCCAGCCAAAATGCGCTCCCTCAGCGAGGGATGGTGAGGAGGATGACGAGCGACGACGTGCGCGCCCTGCCATTGTCCGGCGGTGTGAGCAACTATGCGCCCAGCGACCTGTCTATTTCCGAGGCCGACACCTCACGATACCCCCCAACGCGACGGGGCTCTTGGCTCAAGCGCCTCTCTTCTATTTCCATTTCCTCGAGCAGAACCCCCAGCCCAGCGCCGCTGTCGCCCGCAGTCTCGTGTCCCCATGGCGCAATGGCCTTTCCCCACGACGGCTCAGCAGCTTCGGTTTTCGGCCGGCGCTCGACCTCACCATCGTTGCGAAACAGGCTGGTCAAGCGCTCGTCATCAATACGCAGATCCGACCAACTACCGGCCCAAGGTACTGCCACTCTACGGCCTTCATTTCGCCGCCCGGCCACAAGTCACCAGCGCACCGCAGCGCTGTTTGCCAACCACAGTCACAACAACGGCAACAGCAATAACAACAACAATAATAACAACGAAGCACAACTGCATAGTAATCCAGCCGAGGACTTGGCGACTAATAGGGAGTTCCTGCATTCGTCGGATACGGACTGCCAGTTTGAGTATGCGCAGTATTTCACGGCAAAGGTGACCAAAGAGCGGACAGTGTCCAAGAAGAGAGGGTCGACGTCGTTAAGAGGCAGTTACAAGAGGGTTGTTCCAGACGAAAAGCACTTGCCTACACTCGTGCTTGCGAGGTCGGTGGCAGCAGCCACGCCCGAACTCGACGATTCGACCAGCGACGAGGGCGACAGCGTCTTCTCGGTGAGCCGGCCAGGGACGCCGTTTAGCATATCCGTGTTTGCTACCAAAGAAAGCACGCATACCGGCAGCCGGCCGTCGATCGAGGACCCCGACGATGCACTGCGAAGCAAGCGCTCCTCTCTCACGGACTTTCTTTCCTTCTCCAAGAAGCAGCTGGCGGCAGCCGGGGCATCAGGCACGACGATGCTGCGGCGGGCGAGCCAGCGGGTCAACTCGGCACCTCTTGTCCCCACCACCATGCACACGCGACCCCATAGCACGTCGTATGGAGAGTCGCACCGCCATGTGGTTGAGCCGGCATTGGCTGCTGCGAGGCGCGCCATTGCGACGTCTGCCGGAACCACCGAGGCGGGACCAGCGGGCAGCGGGCTCGAGGGCGGCGCATCATCAACGCCCTTGCCCACGCTCGCGGCTCGTCGTGCCAGTGCTGGCATGGTTCCTGTCCTTAGCTTGGCGTCAATGCCTCAGCAGCTCGAGGGTCCCTCAGCCGCACTGGGCGCCAATCAGGCGCCACCATCCCCTACTCTAGCGCAATCGGGCGTTCGGGTCTCGCGTCACTCCATGGCCCCCTCAGAACAAGCCTCGACATTGGTCGGCTCGTCTGATAATGAACTTCGCGCCTTGGGGTTTGGCGACGACGACAACACCGACGTCCAGAGCGAGACGTGTTTTGATTCGCTGCGCACTGGCGCAACCAGAAGTACATCGGGCGGCGCCCGGGGCCCTCGTATAGAGACGATTTTCGACGAGTCACCCCCCTCCAACGTCAAGGTCACTGCCCTGCGCGATCTGCTCCCACCAGGTGCTCTTGGGGATCACGCCGTTGGTAGCGTCGCCGGCCACCAGAGTATCGCTGAGGAAGAAGAAAACATCACAACACCGGTGCGGATGCGCCACGAGTGCCCTCTGCACGACTCGCCCACCTGCGCCCGGACACGAAGCGCTCCCCTCTTCCCCAACACGGTCTCGGCATCGCCCCCGAGTATGCCCAAGCCGCTTTCGCTTGGGACCTTGGAGTGGGATTCAAGACCGGGCAACGACGACGACGACAGCAGTAGGTGGTCACTCGAAGAGACAGATGCTGAAGACCTGTGGGTTGATGCTCCCACAGTCAATCACCGACCGACCGCAACACTGTCGCCGTTCCCCCAGAGCGCGCGTCGTGTCGCATCGGGCCCAACATCCAAGCCCACTACGCCTCATCATCTCACCACAGAGTTTGGTGACAGAGACACCCGCAGCAGCATCTTCGACTGGTCTGAGCAACAACTCGCAGACAAGAACTCGGGCAACTGCACGCCGCCACGACCTCGGACAGTGCACGGCAAGAAAGATGCTGACCGCAGAGGCAGCCGTTCTGTTGGCCGCCGCATACCCAGCGGGTTACACGCTCGCAGCCAGAGTGTGCCCGTGGTTCCCGATTTGACTGGCAAGCGTAACACCGTCGTGACAAACAAGTTTGGCACCTGGGGCGTTGGCAGCAAAGGTGTCACCGAAGACTGGAACGATGACTTTGACTTTACTGAGCTCAATGGCGATCCTATTGAAGAAGGTGATGCTTCTCCTCGGGTAGACAGTGGAACGTCAATGGTGGTACCAAAGAGCATACAAGAGCAACAGAACAACGTCCTGGCCAACATTGGTCTGCTTCGTGAGTGGGGCCTACTAATCGAAGAGCTCAAAGAGCACCGTACACGCGCTCAAGCTCTTGGTATAGTGGATGGTCCGCATGCTAGTACGTGGGAGGAGGTGGACGCCATGATAGACCTTGCCGATCAGGAGGCTGGCCACCAGGATGTCGCTCCCGTCTCACCACCTTCAACACCTGGCTTTGATGACGATAGTTTTGAGGAGCCGCCCACGAGCCCTAGCCTTGGTAGAGGAAGGGGGCAATCAGAAAACCCAGATCAGGATATCATGAAGAGTCGGATACCATCACCGCGCTCCCGCAAGTCTATTCTTCCACCAAACGACGATATTTTTGCCCCGCAACCGTCCCCAAAACTAGCCCAATCAATATCTGACACCGACCATGAAACTCACGAGGCCAAGCCGACTACCACGCGACCCCGTAAAGACTCGGAAGCCAAAGCGCGTTCCGTAATTGAGGCGCTCCAAAAGAGGAGGAGCGTATACGAACCAATATTGGATACACCGCCCACACCTTCTTCGAAGAAGGTTCCGTTTGACACTGCGACTCTACGACGAATTGTGCCATACGTTAGTTCACTGACGCACAAAGTAAAAGACACGATTAGGGATGCGGAAGGCTTGTACTCAAGTCCGCTCGCAAGCCCGATGCAAGAGCAGCCACAACGCGACGACATTTTCCAACCAGACGCGGATCTGGTGGCTCAAATGAAACTCATGACGGTCATGTGAGCTCATGATTCTTACCCTGTTATGGAGCAGGATCCATTTGGTGCTGGCCACACCTCTCAGGGCAAAAAAAAGTTTTAACGAAGGAACAAAAGTTTCCTCTGGACTATTTTCCATTTGGATGAGAGCGTTCGAGCGACGATAGAGCCGCACTGGCTTCATCAACATTTCCCTATACTAATTTCGATACGGTCGACTATCAAGTACAGACCCAGAACTGGACTTTGGAGCGACACGTTACTTGCAATGTTAACTTGCATAATTGAAGCATATCCCCAGCCAGGATGCAGGCGGAGCACGACGAGGCATTTGTTACCAAGAGCAACCACAGAGTATGCTCAATTTTTGTTTAATCGAGAATCATGGCGCACCAAGGGCCTGCAGTGTCCTTTTGGGATCATAGCGCACATCATAGTCTCTGGGTGTGGAAAAGGTCTGCCGTGCAGTCCACGGCCCGTTTTCTCACCAGTCTGCATCGTGTACAAAAGCGGGTTAGGGGATTTTTTTTTCGTATGTTTCCTTTTTCTCATGTTCTTGATGCTCTTGTATCTTGAACCCCATTGGGCGTTTGTCAAAAAAATCATAGCATTGATACACGACGGCCTCGACCCAGTCTCTTGAGACGCGAATACATTCACAGCATTGTAACGCTAGCTTATCAAACGGTACTCCTGTAATTATGATGTAATGTCTGCAACCAACCTGAGTCAGAGAAATGTCGCGGCCCGAGGCCATGAGTGTTGTCCCTAGCAACCGCGTAAAGGCCTAGATGCACAAATAACCGTGGTGGACCCGGTATTTGTTTTCTGCTACAAGACGGGCTGTAAGTATCCGGGACGGCGACTAGCCCGCATAGCTGGCACAGTGTGAAAGTGCGCGGTCCAGGTAGCATTTCTAGACAGTGTCAACCATAGCTGCCGAGCCGTTTTTGGGCCCGACTGATGCACATTGCGACGCGCTACTACTCCGATTCTCACTTCGCACATGCCAGATCGAGAGGCGAGGTACGCAGGTACCGGCTGCAGTGCGGCGCGGTTACATACATACTTTGAGAGTAATCACTGCCACTGTGATCGTCTTTGCATGCCGCTCGCTCTCGGACCCGCCTGAGCGGGAGAGAAGACCGTGAGGATGCGGAGGACGAAGCCGCCTTGCTGCACGCTCCGATGAGCATACAACCAAGCGAGACAGGCTCCCTCCGTGCACACGCCTTAATTGGCTTCGGGCGTTTCACTCATTCTCAATTCGACAATAATCCAAGTCGGGCTATAATGACAATTTAGTCAACGACAAGACAGCCCTGACGCCGCATCTCGGTCCCATGGCCGGCGTTGGCGGCAAATCCGGCACTGCCATGCACTAATCTTCTGCAGTCGCTCTGGGCTGCATATTCCGGTTTTCCAACATGTAAGTAAGACGGTCTTGCTTGCAAGGAAGTACTCCTCGGGACTATATTCCGCCACCATTAACTCGTCCGTCCCATACGCAAGTGCAAATGCGCAATCCGTGTTCGCCAACAGTAGCTTTACATAGAGTTGCGGAGCATCCTCGACGTTCTCCTTCAAAGTACTTGCCTGGACCAGTTAATAATTACTCGTTATAACGACAGGCTACCCGGCCGTTACGATACGTGGTTCGCACCACAGAGTGGGGTTACATTGGGGCCAATGGCTCCCATATATTGCCGATTGCGCAAGTGTGGTGTGGTTGTTTGAGGATGCGGCCGTAGCCTAGTATCGGATGGATGAAGGCGCGGTATCCTTTGATTTGGAAAAGTCAATGTGGATCGCGTCTTGGAAGCGGCTACCAGACCAAGAGGCGGACGGGAAATACGCGACACCTCAGGTATTATCGTGACCCCAACTCACCAGAAAAGGAGCCATTGACTAAAACACGGCCACCGGTGAGCTGCTTCGAGTACTTAGTAACATACGCCAAAGATCCTTATTCAGAAACCCAATCTCCATCTTACTTTTTTTTGGCTTAGCCGCCGAATCCTTGCTGACGCCCAGGGCTTCTCTTGTTCGAGCCTATCGTTGAGCTTAATCCATCTACCAGCAATTCTCACGTCATCCGACTCGTCCCATAATGGCGCCGAAGCAATTGGTAGCAGTCGGCCTGAGCGCATTCTCCATTCTAGGAGCGGTCCAAGCGCAAGGTACAGCTTGCGAAAAGCCAATTGCCCCACAGAACGCGGCTCCTTCGGTCGCCCTGGGATTTCGCGTCGAGGTTGTAGCAAATGGTCTGAGAGACCCTCGCAGCATTCTGTTTGATCGTCAAGGTGGACTACTAGTAGTTGAGCAGGGTTACGGAGTTAGCAGACTATCCCTGACGGGCGATGGAGCTTGTGTTCGTGTTGAGGGTCCAGTGCAAAACGTTATTGAAAATGACTCTGTAAGTTTGGCCGTTGGCCGTTGCAACGACCATCGGGGTTTGACTAACAACATCAGTTGAATCATGGCATTGCATTCTCTGAAGATGGCAATACTCTGTACGCGTCTTCCCATAGCAATGTCTTCGCCTGGGACTACGATGCTTCTCAAGGCAAGACCACGTCTGATTCAAGAGATGTTGTTCAAGGAATGGGAGACAAGGAGGGACATACTACGCGTACACTGCTCATGTCCCAGAAGGTACCTGGCATGTTGCTCGTCTCCCGTGGTAGCGTGGGCAACATCGATCTTCAGACCTTGGACGTTACCACTGGAGTATCTACCATCAAAGCCTACAATGTGAATAATGTAACCTCTTCAGCCTATGATCACGCCTCGACCGGTAGGCTTCTCGGCTGGGGTCTTAGGAACTCGGTCGGTATAGCTGAAGATCCCGTAACAGGCGGTATCTACTCTGTAGAAAACAGCGTTGACAACATCATGCGAAGCGAACAGCTCATCAAAGAAAACAATCCAGGAGAGGAAATGAATTTCCATGGCTCCCTCAATGAAACAGCAGGCAACATTCAAGATACAAATCACGGATACCCTTCTTGCTTCACAGCCTGGAACACCTCTGAAATCCCCGACTTCAACGGTCAAGTCGGTCAACAATTCGCCATCGGAGACCAAAACGCAACCGTAAACGATACATTTTGCCAAAATGACCGAGTTGCCCCCCGTCTTGCTTTCCAAGCTCACATGGCCCCCCTCGATATCAAGTTCAATCCGAATGGCACCGCAGCATGGGTGACCATGCACGGATCATGGTACGTAAACCCCCCCTCTCTCTCTTCCCCCAACAGACCCACTGCTATTACTAACATCACCCCCTTAGGAATCGCGAAGACCCCGCCGGCTACAAACTCACCCTTGTCCCCTTTAACGGCGCCGGCTCGCCCGTCGCTCCGTCAAATAGCACTACCGCAGCCATCGACGTAGTATCTAACCCAGACCTATCCGCCTGTCCTCGCTCGTGCTTCCGCCCCGTTGGACTTGCGTGGGATGCAAAGGGTAGGTTGTATATGAGTTCTGATTCTACGGGAGAGATTTTCGTTGTTACGAGGGAGGATGGGAGCGGGGTTGCGGATGTGAGTGCGACGGCGTCAGCAAGTTCAGGACAGAGTCCCGTACCGAATGCTTCGGGCGGCCTGATGGATAGGTGGAGTTTGGGGAGTGGCGTGTACTGGGTTGTTGTGGCGATTGTCATGAGTGTCTTGGTTTAGGGATGGGTACAGTGGCTATTTCGTGGGTGCAGCAGTTTGGTGGCATGATTATGAGTTATTTGACCTCTCTCGTTTATTCCTCAAGTATATATTCAATTACATGCGTTGATACTTCGAAATGTGGTGGTGTGATTTGAAAGCGTGAGATTGCACTACGGACTAATGCTACTATGAGCCACAGAATCATGTACTGTGTGGCATACCAAAAGCGGCAGTCGTATATAAGATGCATGAGTATGTAGCTCCTTCTTTGCAATTTGACAGGTTGCTCAACAACATCGGGCGTCATTGATTGTACCTTCCTGGAAAGCCATGTGCAGTTGCCATCACCATCACACATAACATGTTCTTCAGATCTCATTCCATACACAAACATCAGCTATGGCTTCGAATGCTGCATTCAGGTCTTGCTTCTCCGGAATTGATACGAGACTACCTTTTGTTTCACACTTTCGTCGCTAACAGACGCGTTCGTTTAGTAGTGCGTTCGTTTGCGACTCTTGCTCACCGCAGCTCGACGCCAATTCACTGAAGACCAATGGTGCATACCTATGCCGACCGTAGCTACTGGTTTCTCTCTTTATACATACAAAACTCTGATAGATCAAGCAGACTTGGAATGTCAGTCAATTTGTTCAATCACACAGTGAGGTTGGCATATCAGTGGTATTCGGCTTGGACGCCCCACTTGCACTATCGCCCGCTGTCAGTGCGGCTCTGCTGCCTTCACCTATGTCGTGAAGTGAGAACCCACCCCCGGTAACGGCTAGTTCGAGCGTCCTCTGTCTCTCATATCGAACCTACATAATAAGAAGCTTTCTTCTTCGCCAGTCGTGGGAACTCGCTCAACCTTCAAAGCATTTGAATTGATCAATACCTGAACCTTCTCCTGCCTGTAGCATCCATTTCCAAAGCTGAAATGTCGCGGGCTCAGGTTCCGTTTAGTAACACTGCATTCAACTCTCTTCCCATTGAAGCATGTGATCTTGCTATTGGCTCGTTAGCTATACGTATGCTGACTTTTCCAATAGCTCAACAAGGCCATCATCCACTACCTTGACGACGACAAGGACATCGCGACATACCGGTTGATATGCCGCGCTACAAATGATGCCGTCGATGCCGACCTTCAGTCCTGTTGGCGTGCAAAGTTCCGTGAGAAGTATGATTTTTTGGAGGGCACAGCCAACAACCAGCTGCGGCGCATGTATCAGCGCCGGTCCAAGCTGCTGCGATGCGGCACCAAATACGGCTTCTTTCGTGGCCATGGTAAAACCGAGGCCCGGGTTGTGAAGATGTTGAAAGATCTAATCATTGGTACGTATATGCCAGCACAAGTCAGCGTATCTAACGAAGAATCCAGAATCCTTCCACGGAGCCACCGAAGTGGATGAGCATGGGCGTCTCCGTTGCAAGAACCATGCTCACCTCATTCAATTCATTCTCGAGTCCCGCCTGCTAAACAACGACCGACGACCCCCCACAGTCCGCCACGGCGAACCTGCCCACGTCGATGAGACACTCGCAGCTGTCAAGCTGATATGCTCTCAGTTCATCTTCGATCTTCCAGGTCTGGAACACAATGTATTCGCATTCGACGAGTCACAATTTGCCGTTTATCAGTCTGCCACCGAATCTCCCATCTTTCTGGACAACTACAAAAGGTTGAACTTGGAATGGGTTCTCCACAGCATGAATTTCTTCCGTCACCACATGATGAACGAAGAAGCCCAAACCCTATTCGACAAAATCGATGAGCTAGATGCAACTCAGAAACCCTCGGCCTGGCGAGAACCTCTTCGTCAGGGCGCCTATCCACTCAGCAGACACTGGAACGGTACTTACGCCTTCCTCGACCACTCCGAAGTCCAACGCCTCCGCAAGCAAGGCCCAGGCCATGAAATCTACATTGACAAGAACGTCGACGAAGGCAAAATTCAAGTAAGCTACAAAATCCCCATACAAACCTGAATCCATATACTAACAACACCCTCCAACTATGTAAATAGTCCCTCGAACTCACTTTCGCAAAAACCACCCACCTCCCCAACGGCGGCCCCCTTCCCTGGCCCACCCTCTTCGAATCCCGCCTACACTCCGTCCTCCCCTTCACCAGCGCCCAGCCCCTCAAAACACAAGCCCGTCACTCGCCCAAACAACCCCAAAACATCCATTTCAAAGGCTCGGGCCAAGACCTCGACGACGAATACTGCGCTCTCGGCTGGCTCAACGCGCTCCCACCTCAAGGCGGTATCCCAGGCTGGCAGCGTATAACCTTCATGAAGCATTTCAGCGATGATTACGAGGATCCTGATCAGGACAATCTTTGGGCGTACGAAGGCGTTGTGATGCCCGGTGGGAGGATGATTTTGGGGAGATGGTGGTTTGCGTCTGAGTCGGCGCTTACGCAGGTAAGTCTCTCTCTCTTTTTTGTTGTCGTTGTTGTTTCCCTTGAAAGGATCAGGGTGGATGGAAACTGACGTTGTGCTGTGCAGTTGGATTATAGTGGGCCGTTTATTCTTTGGGCCGTGGATGAACCGGACATGGATGGGGAGGAGTAGAAGTGTCGAGTTAGGGGCTGGCACTTGAATGCATGGGGGCGTTTTGTCGCGTGGGAGGGCTATCACTCATGCAAGATCAAAGGTTCACTGGCATTGTACATGTCTTCTCTTTAATCCATATATGGGTGGCATGATTGTTCGGTGGTTCATTTCAAGCCTGCAGCCACAAGGAATATCTAGTTTCGGGCTACAATTATATCAAGACATGTCAATTCTCTCAGATGTTCACATCATTTGGTCTTTTTCTTTTTGTCACTATGGTATACTGCGTCGTTATATGCTAAGACCACTGCTCTTTCCAAGCTTTCCTCTTTTCTTTGTTTTTCAACCAAAGAGAACACGTCAAGAGTGAACAAATTTCCAGCAAATGATTTAAAAAAAAGTCTCATCATTTGATATCTACATATATAGTCGTCATAGAGTCGTCATTCATAATCATGCCCGCGTCCCAGCAATTCCCAATCCAACCAATTCCCCTCATTAATCATACCGAAAGAAGAAAAAAACCTCGTTATTTCCGCATGTCTGTTTATATGTGTTCAAGGACAGTGTGTAAAAAGAGAGATAGAGAAAAGTGAGCCGGCAACAAAATGCAAAGAGAAAAAGGTCATTCGAAATATTCCCATTTCTTTTGCATCTTGCTCCGAAAAATAAGAAAACCACTCGCAAAAAAGGATATCGAATAATTGTCTCTAACCCCCAACTTCCCAACGCAATGAACAAATAACAGCAAAAAAAAGAGTTGAAAGGTCGGGAATGGAACAAGAAGGGAGAAGGTCTAGTACCTGGCACCCATAGGTGGCGGCGGCACAGCGGCACCGTATGGGCTGGAATCGGCATAGGATGTAGCAGGGTAGGGTTGGTTGGCAGCTACAGGATATGCGTACGGATTAGCGCCTGGACCATTCATGTTGCCAAGGGCATTGAGGCGGGCCTCCTTCTCTCGTCGTTCTCTCATCTTTCTCCTCTTGCGACGACGGGCTTCGAGCTCCTTGACGCTGTGACGCTGCTCGTTCATCTCTTTCCATTCCGAGTATGCCGACTTGATACCAAGCGCAGCAATACCCACGGCAGCGGCGTCCTGGAGCATGTTTTTGGATTTTCGTTTGCGTGCTTCCTCTGGTGACATTTCTCCTTCGCTGACGAGCTTGCGACGGTTTTCCGAGGCGACCATTGACGAGTATACTCCGTGGGCGGCGTGGATCGTGGCTACCGTAGCCAAACCCGCAGTGAGAAGCTCCTTACCTCGAAGTTTCTTGCGCTTTTCCTCCATATCGGTGGAAGACTCGGAATCACTACTAGGATTCCATCGACTCCGTTCTCCTCCTCCGTTATGTGCTGCTAGAGCACCTGCGCCAGCCCCAACGGGAGCGGCTAGTCTGCGATCTGAATTAGTCCTGGAAGGGGCTTCGGAATACTGGTCGTCCATACCGCGGCCTCGGCTGTATGAGCGGCGGTTGCCCCTACGCGATGGTACGTAGCTGTCGGAGCTGGAAGAGCGAGAGCGAGAGCGAGATCGCTCGCGTCGAGAACGAGACTTGGAGCGCACACGGTCGTAGAGAGCCTTTCCTGCAGCGAGTACAGCACCAGTGCCAGCAACCTTGGCGAGACCATTACGATTGCCGTCGTCGCTTGAGTGAGAGCGGGAACGTCCACGGGAACGAGAGCGTCCAAAGATGGACCTAGACCTGGACCTAGCACGAGAGCGGGACCGAGAAGGAGACCTGGAGCCATCGCGGCCACGAGCACGAGAGTGAGAGCGAGAGCCGTTGGCTAGGCGTGAAGCAACAAGACCGCCCAAGGCGGATTCAGCTACGTGCCTCTTCTCGTGCTTTCCATCTCTGTCGATGAGACCGTCAATACCAGCTGCACCAATAGCGGCAGTGGCAATACGTTGGCCTTTGGCACCAGTCCAGGGGCCTGGTTCTTTGCGACTACGGAAGGCCTCGACGGCACCAGCAACAAGAGCCGCTTTGGCAGCCTGTTCCCATTTCTCTTTGGTGCCTCCTCGGCTACGGCTGCGTGAACGGGAGGTATAGCGACTTCGGCGATCATCGTAATATCCGTGCCTGTCGCTGTCATATCCACGGTCGTCCCGACGATAGCGGGAACGGTCGCGGTCACGAGAGCGAGAACGAGAGCGTTCGCGGCCAGTGACGGCGCCGATGATTCCTCCTAGGCCTGCCGACTCGCCGAAGCTCTTTACTTGGTCGACAATTGACTTGCGGCGCGAGGGCTTGGGTCGCTCAGAATACTCGGAATAGTCATCGTAGTCACGGTCACGGCCACCACGGTCACGGCGACGAGGGCGGTCATAGTAGTCGTCGTCGTAGCCGCGATTCATGGAACGAGTGCGACGAGGTGGCGCATACTCTTCGCGGTACTTGGTCTGTCTGAACTCGGTGCCAGGAGGGAAGTCGCGGGGGATCTCTTCGATGCTGTCCTCCCGGGCTGCAGGGCGGTAGACGAGATCACGCACTGCGCCTCCACGGCCGCCGCGCTCAATATACGTCGTCTCGGTCACGTACTCGGGCTCCCGGTTTCGGTGCCGAGGTGGTGCATAGCTGTACTCGGACATGATGTTGCTCTGTACCCGCGATGGGCGGATGCTCTGTGTGTGTGCGTCTGTTGTTCTCTCTCTCAAGGGTCCAAAGTGTGGTATGGGTGGAGTCCGCTGCGCAAGGCTTGTTAGTCGGGGGGCACAAGTGGGAGCAAGAGGGCCAGCGCAGCCAGCGTACCAAAGAGCGTGGTGCTCAGAGCTTTCTCAGTTTGCCTTTGGGACAAATCTTTGTTGGGCAGGCGGTCGCAACGAAGAATGAAGAGTGCCTGGAAAGTGACGTGACAAGGTGGGTGGGGTAGGGTAGGGGAAGGTGTCGAGGGTGGCAGGCAGCGGCAGGCAGATGTATTTAAAAGGCTGAGCAATGATGACAGTTGGGAGGGCTTGGGGCCCAATGATGTTGGTATCGAAGGCGGACCAGGCGGAGTGGCGTAGAGATTCCGTCTGTCTGATGCTGGTGCGAAGGTGGGCAGTGTCTTTAGTGCCCAGGGCCTGCTTATGACGTAACGGCAGGCTGCCTGTTGGGCTTGCCGCTTGTGCTTGCAGCCACGCCCACGCCCACGCCCACGCCCACACCCACCTGCTGACTGACCATTGACCGCATGCCTCTGCCTGCTTTTGCTCACTGCGAATGCGAACATGCACATGGTACCCGCCATAGCCCCCCTCCGGCCCTGTCCGCTGCCTTGACCGGCGCTGGCTCTCACCCCCCTCCTTTCGCTCACCAGCGCCTGCACTCATTCTGCCCTGCTGTGGTGCCGCGCGGCTGTGCTGTCTCTTCTTTCACGTCGCAAGGCTCCCTAGCCACAGTTCCAAGTTTTGGCGCTGCATGCCTCGGCCTCGTACTCACCCGGCCTGGCTTGATGACGAAGCCTGGAGCCATCAGGTGTAGGGGTGCAATGGACACAGCAGCACGTGAGTCGCTTCCTATTGGCCCCTGTCAGTGGTAGCGTGTGAACCTCAGAGAACATGCGAGGATACACCTGTCAGCCCGTGGCCTGACATGTCGGCATGGCCCAGAACCCTACAACCCATGAACCATGCCCGCCAGACGCTGCCTGATGAAACAAAATAACCCCTCAGTGGTGCCCGAAGACGCCCCTTCTTTCTTGTTTTGCGTGGCAACTCGTGGGTTCATCTCGTTGCTTCTTTGCCCAGGAACCAGTCGGTAGTCACGGCATCTTGGTTAGTGCCCACGCGTAGTAGCCGTTAAGGCCCTATCCACCACTCAGGAACAGACCCTTTGGGCTCCATGCAGGAAGGGCAGCCAGCCAGTCACCTTTGATCTGTCGGGCCAAGAGACAGCCGTGACAGCCTCACAATTGCAATCATTCTCTGTTCCGTTGCCGTGCACTCTATGACACCATAGCGCATACGTAGGCAATCCAGGTCTGCTCCATGCTATCCGCTCGCTTCGCTAAACCGCACATCATTTCACCGTGATAGCTCCGTCTGCAACACTCTCTCTCCTCCCCTAGACTGAACTGACCATTGCTGCCAAGCTTTCCATCTGCGGCTCCAGTTCTTTTGAAAATTCTTGTAGTGCAGGAGTAATGGCAAAGTGCGGCTTACTGCTCTCGGCCACCAACCTCCACTTCTCGTGTGTAGCTTCCGTGTAGACAATTGCTCGTATAATAATGCACTCTTGCTGTGAGGCACGGTGACGCCGAGCTGATGCAACCACAGGGCCCTGGCTGTCAGCTCTGCGCCGACAAATGAGCAGCGCGAAGCCGTGATGGTCTGGGTGTTTTGCATTGTATAAAATGCCAATGTACTCTATCTTTTGTCAGTGTTTTTGCGAGCTGACATGGAGCTGAGCCCGGCTGCTGAAGGCCATGTACCGAGGATAATCTCCTTGAGTTCTCGCTGCACTTGCAACTCTTCCACTCTACTCATGCATACTTCTTGTTGGTTCACCATTAGTATGTCTTGTGCGAGGTGGTGGTGATGATGGCAATGATGATTGTGGTGTAACAAATCTACGGCTTGGCAAGAGGTTTATGGTTTGTGTGTGTGTGTGTGTGTGTGTGTGTGTGTGTGTGTGTGAAAGAGAGTGAATGAGAGAGATCAATCAGCCACTTCTGAGGAAGGAGCAACTATGTTACCACCATGTCAACAGCTGCACCCTGTGCTGAGGTACCGTGTAGGACTTCTCTCTCGGAAGACATCCATCGCTGATTTGAGACTCATATAAGCCCAGTTAGTAAGCGTGCCCTCGGGCATATGTACTAGTCGTGAATCATTTGTGTAATACAGATTGCAACGCACAGTCCAGTAGTAATGGCCCGAGTTTGTATTCCAACATTCATGGTCCTCTGCTCCGGCCCGATGCATATAATACAAGCATACATACATAGCGCTCAATCGACTCATGCCTTGATGGCGTAGTGCTTGCGGTTGTCGCTTTCCACCGCCTTACCCGTCCTCTCCTTCTCCCACAGTTTTATTCTTGACATGCGCTTCAGCATCCTCTCTTCCCGCTCCCGCTCCATCTGAGCCTCTGGATCCTGTGCATCCACCTCCTCTGATAATTGTGATCTTTCACCATGGTGACCCACATCCTTGTATAGTAACTTCTTTGCCTGCTCCCGCAGTTTCCGGGCCGCTTCGCGCTTGTCATTGTTGTCTATAGCTCCATTTGTCCTTGATGCCTCTTCAATTTCACTCTGCTTCTCTCGTTGTCCCCATGGCTCCAGGTCGGGAATCTCGGGCCACACAAAAGGCTGCTCCATCTCCACAGTCATGTACTTTTGAGATTCTGGGCGGAACCAGTGCCGTGGCTGTTCGCGCGTATCCCGTACGGGCATTTGCTTTACGTACGAGCGGATATTGAAGCATTTGACGTTGTACGCATGGTAGAGGTAGTCGCGGAGATCGTATTTTGAAAAGTCGAGCGGGACAAGGAAGCGAGCGTGGTAGGGCGATAGCTTGGGTGTCCGTACAAGCGCAACTGTGAATTTGGGACTGAATATCATTTAGTTCAATTGTCTCGTACGTATGCAATATGTGTGGCATACAGGTAGATCTTCTTGCTGCCAAAGGCTATCAGCTTCTTTGAGATGGGTACGGCATCCATTGCGACCAACTGCGACCAGATGTGCGTATTCTGGGGAGAATTTGCAAGATATCAGATGTTAATATTGCGACTTTTCAGCGGCGCATTGGCCTTGGCACAGTGCAATGCGCGTTGTGATGCCTCGCGTGGTTGCCCTACAGTGGGCTTTGCATGAAACTCAGAAATTGGATCGGAGGCCGACGGCACACCTCCGCATCCGTGCGCATGCACGCCGCCTCCAACTTCTACCGTTGTCACCCACCCACCCATCTGTTGCATTGTGGCGGAGTCTTATTGACTCCATCCAGAGTCATACGCATACAAATTCATGAGATGCTGGATGCATTCAGCACTTGGAATGAAATACGACGTTGCCTAGTGTTGCAGAGCTCATATATCCATGTACTTGTTGGATACGAGGCTTGGCAACAGGTCAAGGTATTGGCAAGTGCAAAGATCAACCAGACAGTCTATTTCCTGAATATCATTGTAATAGAGGCTTACATAGGGATATCATATTATTACTTCAAAAACAAAAAACCTTGGTGCCAAAGAAAGGACTCAACTACAGGCCAACTCTACCGACGCCTTTCCGAAGCGCAACTTCTATCAACGTCTCCTGCATTCCCCGGAGCAGGCTCTCGGCAATCTCCTTATCCCAGTAATTTTGATTGTAACATACACTAAGCACAAGTTGGCCTTGCCATATCCAGGTGTGGACCATCATTCGTAGGGTTAAAGTCTCGGCACCGAGCCAAAAGTCCTCTACCTGGACAAGGCCGTCGCCAATGTTGTTGGATAGCTTTTCGTCAATGGTTCCCAAGAAAGCAAACCTTGGCTGCAACTGCCCGTCCGTCTCTCCGTTGCTTCCGAGATTCGAATCGGTCAACCTCTGTTCAAGAAGCTTGTGGAAGTAAGGAGATGAGCCCAGGTATGGTGCGTAGCCAGTGGCATAGACTGGTGCGAGTTGAGCGTAATACGAGTCGAAGTCGGTCCATGGCGAGACAACCACCTCGGTTGTAAGCACGCTCGTATAGCTTGTTGGCGAGTTCTCTGGAGCTTCACCCTCGGGGATCAGGACACGGAGATTGTAATGGAATGAAGCCATGAAGCTCCGCGCTTCGTCAGTCGGTGCCAGTTTTACCACGGCGTTCACGAGAGCTGCATGCAGTACCACATCCAAGGCGAGCGCTGCATTGTCACAGCAATCCATGACAAGTTTTGTGTCGCTCTTGGAGAGCTTGATAAAGTGCCTTTGTGTGTATCCCGGCCTCTGAGCTTTGAGCTTTGGCTTTAGCTCCAGGGCTGGCTTGTGTGGCTCAAGGGAAGCGAGCCGGCTCTCTGCCTGAGCTTCAATGGCGGGTGTTACCTCGTGATTGATGTGAAGAGTGTCCTCCATGCTGGGAGTCAAGTTCTTGGCACATCCGCCAAACACCAAGTCTGGGTTCATGTTGGCGAGTGATTCAACAAGATGATTAAGACAGAAGATTGCTCCCCGGGCGTCGACGCGGTAGTGTGGCGACCAGATCATGACTTCGGATGTATCGGGAAGGAAGTAGCACATCATCTGTTCGTTCCTTGGGATACGCCCCAACAGTTCATCCACTGTTTTACCTTCGGCAACAGAGAAAGTGGCCGACACCCACAAGGCGATGGACTCAGCGTCGCCGACACGGTAAACATAGTTGCCGTTGTATGGGAAAGCGGCAATCTCGGGATGGTTGTAGCGGACCTGTTTCCATGCGGTTTGGAGATAGGCAGCGGGATCCTTGATATCGGGGTGGAACTTGAGTTTGGCAACGGCGTTTTTGGCCCAATTGTCGCGGCCAATAGCATTAGGAACATTGCGGGTGAGTATGTTCATCTTCTCGAGGTAACTTTGGGGACGCTCCCAGCGCCCTGGGCGGGTCTCTTTCCATGCACAGCCCGGCATGTTTAAAGTGTAGTAGGGATGAGTAGTGAATTATGTGAGAATGAATTTGCAGGCAAAGGCTAACGGTCGAGGTAGAGAATATGCAACTGAGTATGGTTCAGTGCAAAGATATTGCCCAGACTAAATACTCTGGCCGTCAGTGAGCCTCGAGTTAGTGTGTCAAGGAGGCCGGGAAGAACAAGCCCTAGCCTTGGAGAAAGGCATGTTGGGCAATTATTTGCTGCAGCCACCAATTAGCCTCGTATGAAACACAAACCGTTCGTGGAGGTGTCTAGGCCCTTGTTCCGTGGTGTGTACATGGACATGCAAGTTTGGCGTAACTTGGGAGGGATCGGGGGTTCGGGCGGTGCGGCGCGTGCTGAGGTTAAGGGTCTACACGGAAGTCGCTAGGGAACTAGAACCACCTGGACTATGGGCCCACCACCGTCATCGCTTCTCCCTTTTCGAGTCTTAGTGCCTAACGGGCGAAGCCACGCAAAGTAACACGCTGGGTATGACGCGCAATACGGTCCGTCTGCAAGAGGGGCTAATGCAAGGAGAAGTGGACATCGATCGGTATTTGAATGTATTCGTACTAGCAGATCCTACACCTTAATCCACATCCCGAGACTGCGAAACATTCACAACGTCGGGTCGACCGCTAGCGTCGTCAGCTTGTGTACTCGTCCTCTCGTATACTCTCGTCAGCACAAACGAAGCATGGCCAACCAATACTTTGCAAGTCAAGAAAAAGAAAGCCCTTTGCAGAAGCATCTTGGGATTCTGCTGCACCGTGATAGGGGCTGGCCAGGATAGTCACCTTGCATGTGAAGCTGAGGACGACAAGCACGCTAGATGAACATGCTTGTGTATATTACGGACAACATGATTCATTAGCCTAGTGTTTATCCTTGCAGAATAAAAACCCGAGCCCCCCTCCCCCGTTGACAGGACCAGAATGCAGGATTCCCTGACAGCAATAACATTCAGGACATGAAACGAATCGGGGGGGGGGGGGGGGTTGTCCCAGGGTCTAACGGCGGAAGCGCTAGCTCCCGCAGCCTCCGATCGGGGCGATGGGGTATGTTCAAAGCCCATCATACGATGCGAGTGGCCTGCAGTATGACCTTTTGAGAGTTTATTCTTTCTTGCGTTCCCTGAATTGCTCTTGCGCAAGCCGCGGTTTGTCTAGACTCAGCCTTCGCGTAGGAGCGCCTTGAAGAGTCTCGTCTGTCGAGAAAGTTGCCTTTTCTCGGACATGAGCGACTGCAGGGAAAATGCTTTTTTCCCCCATGTCTTACTATATGATTTCCGTTTTAGGATGCCGGCGAATCAGCCGTCTCCCACCTCGCCTCGAGGTATAAGCATATAGTAGACGCGCGCAGGGATCCATGTTTGTTTGATCTTCTTGACACGACGCTGACTAATGACACTAGTTCGTTCAAGGTAAGTAACGTGTGCATGCCATGGTTGGTATCTGGGAATCCCCACCGTTCTTCTTACGTCTAAAACAAGCTACATCTTCTGACAGCAACCACACCCGATGGACAGGCATGTCTAACGAGCTTCCAGCCTGTCAAAAATGCAAGCTGCGCAAGGTCAGGTGCGATCGACAAGCCCCAAAATGCACAAGTTGCACAAAGGGAAATGTGGCTTGCATCGTCGTCAATCCGGCAACAGGTGAACAATATGCACGAGACTATCAGACAGCTCGAGGGTCAAGAGGCCGAGGTGAAGGCAAGATTAGACGAAAAAACTGCCGCCAGGTCTGAAACGAGCCATGACACTATCGAAGCAGCTCAGGCGACACCAGCCGGGCTTCCGACAGGAGGAAGCCATGCGTCACACGACGGCTTTGTTGGCCATGGCAGCGGCCTCGGGTTCTTCCGTAGCATACTATCTGAAGCAAAATGGCAACGCCATCGAACGCGCATACTCGACCAACTAGCGACGCGTCCCGGGATCCAGCAACTGCATCTTTCGCCAAATCCATTACCCGCAGTCCAGGAAGCGGAGCAGCTTTTGGAAAACTACTTTACTCGCTTCCACATACATCACACATCCCTTCTGCGCCAAGAGGTTCTCGGCATTTTCAATCGCGTCTACAATGCATCAGCAACTTCTTCGGACCAAGACTACTTCAGGTTGCTTATGGTGTTTGCTATCAGTGCCACTACAAGGTATCGTGCAGGGATCACTAACCATCATCCGTATGACTACTTTATAGCAGCCGAGGACTATCTCGGACGAATTCCGCTGATACGTGATATCGATGTAATTCAGAATCTTCTGCTGGTGGCTAGATTCGGCATGTATCACCACATCGGTGCTTCGCTGTGGGGAAATATCCCAGTTGTGCATGAGGCAATGCATCGAGTGGAAGCTGCATTTGAAGCCGGTATATCCTTTGGACCCTCTCGTGGAGCAGCATCGACGCCGCGTCTTCTGGGAGTGCTATGTGCTTGATCGATATAGCTCCGGGATCCTGGGACGGCCATTTGCAATTGCAGAGTCGGATATCGAGTTAGAGCTTCCTTTTGATGCAGACGACGATTACCTGGTCAATTCAAGCATAACGAGCCTTGACCTAATGCCTAAGCGTGGCCCGGGGCCTTCCGAACTATCCGTATTTATCATCTGCATTCAGCTCAGGCGAATCAGCTCTCGGATACATTCGACATTCTACAGTAGTCGAAGTGCAGTGGCTTCAAACGCTACCAGTTTCGGAAGATCAACCGAGTTCAAGTCTATTGGTCACGTCTATACAGCCTTCACACGACTACGATCAGAACTGAACGAATGGCGGGCAACCGCACCAATCTTCCTCTATCCACGATCCCTGTATGAACGACCTGAATGGCATGACTTTTTGCATGAGAAGGATGTGCTGCTTCTCGCTCGGGGCGCGGTGCACAACGTACCGTCCAAACCATATGTTGGTACTGCTGTAAAAGAAATACTGACAGCCTGTTTTGTTTCTGCGAGTAGAATTATTGAATTGTATTCTACATTGATGGAGAAACGCGCAATCACTTGGACACGCAGTTATTTTCAAGTCATCTTCACAGCTGGGCTGACTGTCACGTTCTGTATCAGTCTCGAGCTACTGAAAAGTAGTATTGCAGCAGTCTTTGAGCAGCGCCATCCAGCCAGGACGCTGACTCTATGCAGTACTATTATGTCTTACTATAAGGGCAAAATGCCAGATGCAGCATCTGCTGCTGTGGTCTTCGATGTTCTGAAAGATGAATGTCTCAAAGACAATTTGTCTAGAGTTGAGAATTCTGATCCCAACAAGGATTCAATGAACGACTCTGCAGCGCACTCTGCCCATAACAATTCTAGTGTTATGACCGCAGACCTTGAACAGACTTGTGGCACGATGGCTGGCGCCATGTCGCAGGACAACATCGACTTGGGTCCCAGCAATGGTCAGTTTGACCCGCACTATGGACTTGGTTCTCAACAGTTCAATTTGAGCTTGACCAATAACCTTATGACACAACTGGAGGCTGGACTTGGAGAGTATGCATGGGGTTCACTACCACTAGACTGCAATTTTTGGGATCAAATGTCATTCAACTATTGACTCCTTATGTACTCGGCCAATCGATCGATCGCTGCCATAGCCGTCTCTATCTGCGTCTGAGCAGTAGCGGCACCAACATGTGGTGTACTTACTACGCGGCCGGTGCCCCAAAGCCCGCCATATCGCTCCTGTGTGGGTGGCTCTTGCTCATGGCAATCGAGACCCGCACCAAAGATGAGCTCCTCTTTCAGCACTCGCTCCAAGTCGGCCTCATTAACAATGCCACCACGTGCGGCATTGATGAGAATCGCGTTCCGCTTGATCGGGGAAATTTGTGTGTAATCAATAAGATTTCGCGTCTGAGGGAGAAGCGGAATGTGAAGTGTAACGACATCAGAAGTTTCCAAAACTTGCTCCAACGATTTGGCGCGCGTGTGAGGTATGTCTGTCCACGCGTCTTCTGGCAGCAGTGGGTCATATGCGACGATGCTGCAGCCCAAGCCTCCCTGGAATACCCTGGCCACCTTTTGACCTATGTTTCCCATACCGACTATTCCAATGGTCTTTTGGCTTATTATGAGACCAGAATACTTTTCCTTTGGTATGGTCTTTCCAGCGCTTTGCAGTGCGATAATGCGGCCTACTTGACGTGCCACAGACATGGTCAGAGTGAGCACTGTTTCGGCAACAGCCTGTGCATTGACACCGGGGGTATTGAAGATTTTGATGTCGCGTTCGCGGCATGCTGCGGCATCGATCTTATCAATACCTACTCCTTAGTTAGAATCAGCCTGTCCTGGGAACGATGGAAGTTTCATACCAACACCTTGCTTGCCAAGCGCCTTGAGTCTAGGGGCCAACTTTACATCATCCGCTGTCAGGTACGAGCTACGGATGAGCAGATACTCCGCCTTTTCCCGCCACTCAGCATGTCGACTGTCATCAGGAAGAATGGCGTCAAACAAAGATTGCGCATGTTTCACGGCTGTAGGATGGAAGGCATCAAGGAGGTACACAGTCGGCTTAGCTCCTTTGCCAGCAGATGGGGACTCTGCAGGCTAGTCGATGCGACCTGGTGCCATTGCTTATTCGTGCAGGAAATGTAAATACTAGTACAACTCATTTGCAAAGACGTTAGCAACGAGGCTTATATCTCTCTATTCTTGCGGGAGACATGGCTTGATTTTATGTCCATGTTCGAGTCACATCAACATAGTGGCTGGTTCAACTGGTAAGCCAGACATGTCCGACGCGTGGAACACGCAGTGATAGCCGGTGCCACTGGTGCAGTACGCTGAATGTTCAAGGCATTGAGGCATCATGGGGCCCCACAGTATCAACCACTGCCGAAGAATGCCCCTCGGTCGTGTCCGATGGCAACCTCTTTTTGCAGCCGGAGTTTTCGGAGGGTTCCAACGGCGCCGAAGGCCCACATACTTGGAAAACGCCATTGGTTAGGCGCGACAATAGTCTATCTGCACTGTGCACAATCCGAGTGCACTTTAAGCTGTACATCATTGGCCACAGTGGGACCGTATCGAATACCCCATGGGATGCGGTCGTTTGATTGGTAGGCTTACTTGAGACTTTCTACTAGTAGGCCAAGCCGAGGCGAGTTTTGGCCTCGGCTGCCAATTCTGACGTTCAAGCGTAGCGGATCCTTTGTATAAACACCAACACTAATGACATATTCCAAGCCATGGCACTGAGACGTGCACATGGCATGCATCATGATGCAGACTTGCGAGAGGTACTGGAGGAGAAAGCAGAAGGTTGCCTTGCCGTTCCCGTACAGACTTATCGCGCTCATGACCTCTAGTGCTTACGCAACTTTCCTTGCATGCAATGTCGTGAAGCCTCAACCACATGTATGCAACGCCGACTCGGCTCTACAGCTGAAACACCGGGACTGAGCGGCTCAAGTTATGTGGAGTCCTTGAAGATTAAGATTCAAACACTCGAAACACAACTTTGGGAAGAGCGGTTGCAAGATACCACACCATCGAGACGAGCATACAATTCACCTAGAGACCAAGATGACACCCAGCAACGCACTAATGTACCAGGGTCTTCCGACGTCGTGGATCATCCAAATGGTGACCTACATGATACGATAGAGGAAGCATCATATCTGTCACTAGCTGCTATGGGCGCGCAGCGGGCGGATCACCAACCTTTCCCAACCCAGGGCCTCTCTTTCCTAACTTTACTGTATGCTGCAACCGGCGTGTCAGGGACAAATCCTTCAACGTCTCAGGGTAATCATGCAGCTCATTCTGCCATTCTAGCTGGTCTTCGCAACAACGTTGTTGTGCCACATTACGAGCAAAGCAGAACCGTAAACAGCGCCGCACTCGACAAGTACATCGAGTTTGTGCAGCAGTCTTATCCGTTCATAGCCAGTGGAGGCCTGAGAGATGTGTTTAAAATTGCTTTGCAAACTCAACAGGACGATAGAGATGCTACTACTGGTAAGTTTTTCAGAGGTTGTATGTTGTTAGCGTGATTCAAATTATTTTCTGAAAGCGGCCTTGAATGCTTGATGCTATGCAATCTTTTTCGTGCCCTTCACACTCGTTCCCAGACTAGCCATATGATCAGGTAATACCGCAGTTGACGCAGAGCAACCCGAGACGACTGTTATAATGCTATTCGGACTCGCCACAGGCCTTCTTGTGTCGCCAGGCTATGCGTACACTGAAGTCATCGCGACCAAGTATGCAGCGTGCGCAGTAGATTTACTACCTCGCGTATTCGACCACACGAGTGACTTATCGACCGTTCAGTGCTTAGTTGCATTGACAATCTACTCGCTATACACAGCACTCGGAGGTTCAACTTGGCATTTGCTAGGCTTGGCAATGACTCGCTGTGTTGCGTCTGGTATGCACATAAGTAGGTTATCTGACTTGGACTCAGACAACGAGAACAAACGAAACAGCTGCAAAGCCTTTTGGACGCTTTATAAATTAGATACGTAAATCAGCACTGCACTAGATCGACCATTTTGTCTCAGTGATAATGACGTACTGGTCTCGTCGCCGACTTCGACAGAAATCAGCAACGACAATAGGCGACTTCGCTGTCTAGTCGAACATGCTCAATTGCCCCGGTCCAATCGTTCAGAACCCACAACAGACCCTTGGGTTCAATACATCAACCTCCGCCACTGGTATGATATTATGGATACACCCGCAGCTCCGTCACTTTCACATCTCCAGATGCTGGTCCATGGCCTTATCGAGATAGTGAACCGAATATCATTCCAGAACAGCCAGAACTGGAATTTGATATTGTGTGGAGCCGAGCCAGATATTGAGAACTACCTCAATCTCTTGGAAACCCAGCTTCTGGAACAGCGGTGCGCACCTGCAGCTTTCGACGCTTTCGACGTATTCGCAGCTGGCGTTATGATCATGCAATTACGCATGGTACATGAGCCTGATGTGAATCTGGCCGAGCAAATTACGGCACGCATAGCTGCACGGAAAAGCCTTGTATCGCAAGCTATCAATGTCTTGACGATGCTCTCAATGCGATATCCCCCCATCCGCAGCTTGAGAGATGTGCTCTCGGAGTATCGCGCTATCTCAATAGACAACCAGCAACATTTGTCTCTGTCGCACCTTCGCGATCTTATTGATCGTTCAGAAATTTGTATTCCCAGGCCCTTGCAAGATATGATTCTAAGGGGATTTACACCTTGAATTTGAGCTTTCATTCGCTATTGCAAATCTTGGCCGGACATTGTTTCATCGTGAGGTGGGATGCTGTGGTGTAGAAATCTCTAAGCTATTTTTAACTGGGCGCCCTTTTTCTTTGAAGAAGATAACTTTTAGGGGAAACAGACGCTACAGCACTACGCGATACTCAATGTTTATCTTGCTTGCGAGTACTAAGATAAACACGAGTGGCACAAGTCACGAAAGTTCAGCCGTTGGAGATAATACGACTTAGATTGCTCTCGACATCTAATGGCCATCTACCGGAACCTCCGCTACTTGAACAGCATCACCGTTCAGCTTCTCTGGAACAGCGTTACTTACGCTATTACTCACACCATTGCTCTTGGTAGTCTTGACGTCAGCAGCCGAGCTTGAGGACTTAACCCTTTGGCTCAGTCGTGCCATCTCTCCTGCTCTCTTTGTAGCACCTCCAAGTAGCAGTGGACCATCTGTGGCTGCCATGACCCACCTGGCCCCCATCGTGCAAAACTTCTCTACAAGATCCAGCCTTGAATGTAATCCTCCAATTCCGACATACTTTCCATGCTTCTTACATGCATTGATTGTCTTCTCGTACACTTCAGTCAATCTTGGGTTATCATATTCGCCTGGAATGCCCATCTCAGCTGTCATGTCGTTGGTACCGATAAGCAGTGAGTCAACGCCATCAAGAGCTGCAAGCTCTTCAACACACTCGACGGCTTCCAAGGTCTCCACCATGGGAATGACTAATGTGTTGGCATTGACCACAGGGTTTGTCTTCTTCGCCGCGATATGACGATATTGGAAGTGGGGCAAGTTGTTTACAGAAGATCGGTGACCCTGTGGCTGGAACTTGGCGGCCGCGACGACGTTTTTGGCATCCTGTACGGACCGTATGTGAGGCACAATGACACCAAGTGCACCACCGTCAAGCACTCTCGCGATGAACCATGAATCTTTGGAGGGCACACGAACGATTGGTGCAATGCCTGCATAAAGTGCAGCAATGCATATTTGGCCTGCATTTACTGTTAGTGTAGCGACATAATGTCAAAAGCAAATGACTCACTTGTGGTGTCTAGGTCGAAGGATGAATGCTCCATATCGACCAAGATACCATCGAATCCAGCAGTCTTTGCCATCATTGGCAACTCGACGCTGCGTACAAGCTTGACTGAAAGCGTGTATGCCACCTCATCTCTGAGCATTTTCTCCCGAAGAGAGTTCGGGAGGGTGATTTCCGCCATGGTATGCCTAGTAGTCAAGTGATGATTTAGTCGGTTAAAGGAAGCTCAAGACAAGCTGGAAAGATGAGATGGCAAGACAATCTTGAAAAATGACTTCGTAAGAGAATGGTTACCATAACGCGAGACTCCAACCATCTTGTGTAACGTCTTGGTACACGCAATGACTGTTCAAGTCATAGGATACCCGCCTCGGGCCTCGGACGCCACGACACGAGTCGTGCACCATCCTGTCTCGGTCACGTCCGAAAAGTTTCCCCGCATCGGCCGTAGCCCCGAGCACGCTTCCGACATCCCGTAAGTCCCAAGACAAACAGTCCAAGCCATAATGCTGGGTCGCGGGGAAAACATCTGGGGTCCGGGGTAGAAGTTGCCTAAGAACTGCCAAGCATGGGGACGACTATTCGACAGATTGCACAAGTGTCAATGTGAGCGACAACAAGTATAAAGACGATCAGCAGGTCGTGGATCTCGGTGTTCAATCCACAGAGTCTCGACTGCATGTCGAGCTCGATAATACACATAGTTTACCCATTCAAGTCACTTCGAGCAAAATGGCGATCGACTCGGACTCAAAACGGAGCGTTGAGATCATCAAAGTTGAAGATGCCAATGTCAACGCCGAAGCGAGCTACCTACAGCGATATCCGCTCCTGGTGAACAAGACCGAAGATGGGCTTAAGGCGTTGAACAAGGCTGTTCTAAAGAAACTGGACTGGAAGTTACTGCCATGCATTACTATAATGCTACTTTTTCGGTCTCAACATCCAGCTCTCGTGGGAAACAACTGTTGTCCCGCGTCCACGCACGAAGCGCGCTGCCCTCATCGCCATCGCCAACTGCGTGTCGTCTATCTCGCACTGGTTTAGCCCATATTTCTTTTTGCGCAGCCAGGAGCCAAGGTACCAGATGGGCGGTGGCATTATTATTGCTGGATGCGGACTTGCGATCGTTTTCTCGTTGCTCGCGAAGTTATGGGCGGAGAGGAAAAACAAGGCGATTGAGCGGGAGGAGGAGAGGACAGGCGAGGTTACGACTTGGCGGTTTGCGACATAATTGAGGATAGAAACTGTATAAGAGTCTGGCTGATGAATCATGATGTGAAGATATGTATGGTTCTGACGATGATATACCTCCACGTGCTTTCAATAGTTACTATTCTCTATGTCGTTCGATTCTTCAAGAACCCTGACGGAGCATCGTGGTGCATTTTCAAAGTTTTTGTGGATGCTCTGTGAATTGACTTCAATTAATTGCTTGTTGGGCTTCAAGTATTTGTTTCGGAGTCATTGCTTGATGTTTACTTGATATCTTTTCACATGTATGTAATAAGAGGGTACACATTTCACTATCTTCTGCGCTTGCTATCAAAGACTGCCTGCGCATCGGTTCGTGATAGTGAAGTGATAACGCTTTTCTGCTTCCGCTTACAGCTATCTCTTCTACATGAGAGGCAGCTTGCCTCTCAATGTGGATGTTTGGGTCACTTCCGTGCATCACGTGAATCATCCTCTCGCACTTTCCACATCCCATATTTGCCCTTTATACTCGTTGACCACAAATCATTCGGCATAGGGAGTACCAAACCCATGAAACTTGCTATATGAACACATACCAATCAGTTTCTCCTGTTAACGCTTCAAGGGTTTCTGCAGGTCATTGCGTCTCCTGTGCTGTCTGATGAGGGTGAAGCTTGTTAGCATACGGCACACGTGCGCTTGCGGTTTCTGGGCGTGATTGCCTGTTTTCTCTCAGCCTCTCACATTATATCACCTCACCTCTGCCACTTTCCAAGAGCCGCACGCCACCACTAGAGCTCCACTGTGTCCCATTGTGACGCCTCTCTGCTATAATAAACAAGCGACAACCATGGATCCACGAAAAGCTAGACCACCAAACCCAACGGTCGATCATAACGCATTCAAAGGAAAGAAGCCGAACAAAGTCATTTCTGTACCTGTCGGGTTCCGCCGCTCCACTTATGCCAGAGAACGAGAGCAGATCGTCAGTGATGTCAAAGTCAGCACAGGATGCGCCGTAATTCCACATTGGAGTTACAGGCGGGATCAAAACGAAAGCATTATCTATCAGTTTGATATCTTCGGGACTGGCACAGCTCTGGAGAAAGCTGTTCGTCACATCAATCAGTGGATATCGAAAGCACAGACCAAAACAAAGGACTCGTCGGCATGGGCAAAGACGCCGGCGTTCGACCCGAACAAGTGGTATTACGAGCAAGTTGATGATTTAAAGCAAAGACACAAACAAAGCTTCAAAGAAGCACCATCTGAAGATGATACTCTGGAAACCGTGGGTACTTCCGAATCACCTGAAAATTCTTGACTGATAAACACAGATGATAGTACACTGGCCTGCCGAACTCGACGACCGTGATATTTCGCCTCGAGATGCCTTTGGCAATAAGCTAGAGTTCTTGGACACCCTCAGAACGCGCAATGAAGTGTTCATCACTCTCTTGGGGAACAGGAGTAGCGACTGGCAACTGAAGATCCAGTCTCATGACGCTGCAAACCTTGAAGTGGCTGTAGAGGAGACGAAGAATATGATTGAGAAAATAAAGACTGAGGAAATGGGGCTCTGCTCAACCAACATGATTCTAGACGACAAGGAAGGCATGGAAGTCGTTTTCAGACAACCTGATACATGGTGGCCGAAAATTGAGAATCGGACTTCACCCCGCTTTCTTCCAAGCGACATGATGGACCCTCCTGGTAGTTTTCGCGGACAGACACTGCGTTTATTGGAGCTTCAAACGATTCAGTGTTCGTTCCAGTTGGCTCTCGAGGCCGTGAGACATAGAAAAGGCGCGTACGATTTGGTTGTGCGTCTGGGCTGTCTATCAGTTCGCTCAGACGAGATCAAGAATGAAAAGGTTGAGGTCAAATACAGCAAGGCGACATTTTTGAGATCAATCAACGGTCACCTTCCACTGGGTGTTGAGAGATGGTAAGTGGATATCCTATCAAACTGTGTCGAGAGTGGCGCTAACTGCACAGGCTGGCCAACGATACATCCGGTCAACAGATGCTGAGATCCCTCTGCTCATCTGACAAACTCCTCGAACCCATCAAATCCTCTAGCTACTCCGGCTATAGACCTGACACACTCAAGAAGACTAGACCAACGTTCCGAGGGATATGGATATTCCGAGATCCAAACACTTCCCCAGTTGACCTGCCGCGTGAACGCACCCGCCACTCTGGGAGACCAGCGACTTCTGGTCAAACGCCTGTGACTGTGCCACCAAAGTACGTCCTAGCCCAAGTTGACTGGATTGATGATAACGAAGGTTTGTATTGGAAGGACACGCCGCGGTTCTATGAGCTGGACACAGGCGCCGTAGGTCCCAAGCAGCACATGGATATCAAACTACTGGAACTAGGAGAGGGCCGTGGGTGGGACTTTGCACTGGAGTCCATAAAACCTGTGTCCGCAAAGAGTATGTCGCCCCTCCTTACTCGGTTTATGGAGGGTGTGAGGATGAAATGTGGTTACAATCCCCAGTCCGCCGACCTCTTTGCTGAATGGGAGAAATCACCGGCTGTCAAGAATTACCTAGTGACTGAACGTTTGATTGTCATCTACTCCTTCGGAATCAAGGAGACATCCTACAAGGTCGAAATCGCACGCATCTGGCATACGGGTCGGCAGCCAGTATGGAGTCTTGGTGTTCGTCATGCCGAGTGGGCAAACCGTCTTTCAGAGCTGGAGCATCTTCCCACCGGTCGCAAGGCCAACTGGGGTAATACCATTACCAGTTTCCTTCCAAGTGACGGACAGTCTTCATACAACACCGTTGACGAAGACGAGGACTTAGGCTTAAGTAACCTCGATCTTGGTTCTGACGTTGAAGCGCCTCCTCAGGATGGTATCCGCATTCTGATAGACAAGCTGCTTCAGATTTCGGCCGTTGTCAGCTCGGTCAGGAAAGATGAGGGAGTTGTTGCTGTATGAGCATGTGAACCGACACTGTGCGGATGGTGGAAACGGATGAGAAGGTGTGCATTGAGCGGTATGCATTCGGTTTCTAGAATTCGCGAGCTGAAGTATGGAGTGTACTTTATCTACACCGTCAAGATTCATGCCTGGACACCAGCGACCCAGCTTTAGTTCCATAAGCCAGTTCCAGGCCTCATCGTACGTAGAAACAGTCGTCTTTTCTCCGGGGATCCCACGTTTCCACTCAATGCCATCCGCCAAGTAAACAGTCATACTCTCATCCCATAACCCTCTCTCTCTTCTCAGCTTCCCTGCTCCTCCCCCTTGCTCTCCTGAGCATTCATAACCTTCAACCGAATCACCTCCTCCACCATCCTCACATTCTGCGCCTTCCCCTGCACCACCTGCTCCAAATCCTTCAAACTCTCCCCCAGATCCTTGACTTTCCTCTCGTAAAAGTCCTTCGCACCCGGAATATCTTTTTCCACGAAAAATCCTGTGCCCACGTCTACGAGCACGTGCTCATGGTCCGTCAGCTTGCCCGGCACGTACAGCGACGATGTGAGGGGCACGAGCAGCGGCTTGTTTGTTGTGCTGGCCGTGAGGCCCGTGGTTATCGAGGTGAGGCAGTCTTTGAATTTTGACTGGGCGGTGCGCAGCGATTGGAACGAGTTGGAGAGGTGGGTGAGTTCGGCGTCGAGTTGGGTTTTTAATTCTTGCAGGCGGGGGACGGGGAGGGAGGTTATTTCGACTGCGTGGTGTTAGCACTGTTTTGTCTCTCTTGTTGTTGTTGTTTTTTTTGTTATGTCTCATGAGTTTTCGGGGAATTGAGGAACAGAGAAGGAGAGAAATTTACTTTGGCCGGGTTGGGCGCCTTGCTTTGAGGCCATGGTGTGCGGGTTGGCGGTGGTGGTGGTTGCGCGGAGCTTTGCTGGGCGCGGGTTTGTGAAGGTCGGCGGAAAGTTTACATGGGCACGGTTTTGGCGGGGCGGGTTCGGTGTGGGGTAAGTAGTAGCTTGGTAACGTGAGAGCGTGTTGAGCTATGTCTCGTGCGCATGAATAACCATTGTAGCACTTTTAGGATTTACTGCTTATATCGTGATTCCTTGCTGAAATAAAACTAAGCACTTTCTTGTCAGAGTTTGCAGAATTAATAGACGATTGTTGATTCAAAATTTGCCTAGATCACGAAAAGTCGCACACGATGCCGCTCTTATGTTCTGGTAAACAACGCATCTGTTCTGCAATCAGAGTAGCTTGAATGGGTTATTGAGATATGAGATGCAATCATAGTTTAAGACTTAATTGCTCCCTTGGCTACCCTCTCATACTCCTCTTCATCCACGCCCTTGGCCAAAATTGCAACATCTTTCCCAGCCGTCCACTCCGCATCCACCAACACCTGAGCCAACCTATGATCCCAAACCCCGGACTTACGATATTGGCTCTGCTCCTTGGCCCATTTCCACAACAGACTGCAACCTTCGGGAACAAGATTTCCACTCTCATCACCAAAAACAAGGATGCTGAAAACATGAAGCTCGACTCCCTCGTTCATTTCATGGCACCATAGGTTGGTGGCGAGTTTTGAGACCATTTTTACATCGTGTGAGGATGTCTGGAGGTGATCAAGCTTTTGGCGGAAGAAGCTTGCGAAATCGGGTTCACGGGCTGCAATGCGTACTATGCCGTGATCTTCATGGCATTGGACGAGTTGGATCTGAGCTGGCTTCAGGGTTGTGTGGAGTTGAAAGTGATGTGGCTGGAATCCAGGCGGTGCCCAGTAGCTGGTCGTGGTTGCTGAACCGGTTTCTGTAGGAATGGTTATGAGGAGGGTATACGGGCGTGTTAGCCGTGCTAGATCTTGAGATTGGCTCAGATCCTGGGAGATTTAGCATAAATCTTTATATATAGAGTTGAGCCTTTACTAGGGATTGTACTGTTTTCTGCATTGCTATGGTTCTGACTACAACTTCATGTCACGGCGGGGAGTATTCAGATACATGGATGTGCTGGGGGGTAAAGATGCCAAGCGTGATGTAAGAAAGTACGTCAATTACATATGATCATCTGCATCGTCATCATAGGTCAATATCGGTTCTTTCTGCGTACATCTGTACAGCGATTAGAGTACAACTGCATGACATGGTATTGGTTGTCGTGTAAAACGTTTACGCGCGGCTGCACTGACTATGGTTCTCCATTCATCAACTAGTTTCATCTGGGGCCGAAGGGTTTAATCATGATGATGATTGAAGTATTTGGTATCATAGCCATAGAAAATCAATAGCGTGATATCTATCTCCTTTGTAAAGATGTGATGCTCCTGAAAGATTTGCAGTGTCGTAAGCGGGGTACTGAAGATACTCGGAAGCGACGGCATGTCCTGGAGCTTGACAGCTGAAGCTATTACATCACTGCTTATAATTGTTTAGCACTCCAAGCCCTATACCCGAATATCAATGTCCTTCCTTTTCTTGACTTCTTGCTCCTCATTCTCTTCTTTCAACTCCTGAATTTCTCTCTGTCGATATCGCATATCCTGGATTGATATATGTGCTCATAGAACCGATGAATAGAACTAAGGTCGGATTAAATGCCGGCTTGGATTACATCTTTCAAATGTTTTGAAAGTCTGAAACTGTGCTACAAGAGGATAGAAATATGTCAAGGTTCAGTTCAGTGCAATCATTTCAGCTCACGTGCTAGATTTCTTCCTTTAACCGTAGCCTAGACTTAGAGCAGAAGGGATATACTTGCCGTATAGAGGTATAGCCAAGCCTTTTTCTTCAACAAACTCTTGATAAGAGAAATTAATCATAACATATCCTAGTGTGCGAACAAAATTGGTGTATAGCCGTTGACACGGATTGATTCTTATAGTATCAAAGGATACTACTGTTAGTTGTACAGAAAGATCAGGGGCTTGACTTTGTATATGATACGCAATAAGGTTCAATAGATATCGTCGTGGTATCTGTCCCTGTATGCTCTATGGTAAGCGTAGAGTATAGTTTCGCGTGAAGCTGTGTTAAACAGATTGATTTTGCTATACCAGTGTAAAATTCAGTCTTGTCTCAATGTGTAGCACTAATTTATAAACTACATTACAATAAATCCTAAATATGACTTGTTAGTTTTGGAGTTTCTTAAAGCAATCTATGCTGCTCTAAATGTTTCTCGAATGTACCTTTGGCCCTTGATTAACTTATCACTTATTGAAGATTTAGTGAACGTAGACATGTTATTTACAAATTTACAGATAGATGTGAACGATCAAGGAGATTAGATGAAGGGAGATAATTGCTGTATTTCGTGTTAAATATGTTCTTTTGGATTGTGTTGGTTACAGGTTAATCTTGGGCTGGATAGTAGTTTTCACATGAACGTATACAGTAGTCCAAACATTGTGAATTTTAAACAATTACAAGGATAAAAAGTCGAAGATAGTTTGAAATACATTAAATACAGAATATGTAACTATAGGAGAATTTCTAAATGCAAAAGAACCGTTAGTGATTGTTCAAATCGTTTCTCATGAAGGTCCAATATCAGCTTTTGAATTCCAACAGGCATAGCACACAGTATACACTGACAGTACTAAGCTATAATGTTCTGCAACCACTCCAGAATCCAAGAGCCTTGTATCTTACTCACGACAGATAATGATATGAATATATCAAAAGAAAATCTACTTCATGCACACACTTGAAATCCTCACTACCAATCCACGAGTCTCAGTGGTACATAGATCCAGCTTGCAAAAACAGCATATACGCCCATCGATTGCAACATGGCTGCATAACGTCACACTGGCCCGCACACACGTCGTGCTCCGTTGAACTTTGGGTGGTTCCTGCATCACTCCTCAGCACCCAGAGACCTGGCATTAGCGTGGATCTGTACCCTCGGTCCCACAGATAAATTGCACAAGCACGTCTTGCCTCCATCCAGAACCTCGGCACCCCAAAACAACGGTCCCGAGAAACATGTACATAGCATTCTGCACCAGCATCATTGGAGCATAGTCTTCCTTCTTTCCAAGCAAAGAACCGGCAATCTAAGTGGCGTCTGACTTGACAATCTTTGCTTTGTCTCATCGAGATCCAACTTCCTGTGGCGTCTGAGCAGATTGGGAGATCTCCATTTCCACACTCTGATATTGTTTCTATCTCTAGACTATACCCACCTTGGTACGCACTTTGCTTTCACCACGGAGACACAATACAGACAATGCTTCAGAAGTCGGCTAGCCGACATACATGGATAGTATCGACAAGATTGTTTCATGTCTCGCCCTGTTTCCCCGATGTCTTTGGTTCACCGGTATATCCGAGAAAGGAAGAATAAAAAAACAAAAGAGCTTGGCATGGCACTGGTAGGATCGGTACCACGGTGATGGTGGGCGAAGAAACTTATTCCCTTTGCTTTGGGGACCCAAGGTCCTGGAGCTGACAGGGCCGCGCTTCCAGCTAGTTACTTACACGAAGCTGCATCTTCGGTTTGCCGAGCTGAGTGTTACAAAGAATGGGAGCTTGATCGTCATCTATGCGTACATGCAAGGTACCGGGTGTAACACCAGGTACTTGGTCAAGTGTTACCGCTGTCTTGAAAGTTACACACAACCAGCTGGTGCGAACCATGGACTTGGCAGGCTGGACGATTCTTTTTGCTTTCTTTTTGTCGCTTTTGGCGCCCAGCTGGCACGATGGAGAAGTTTATCCGAGTGTCGTGACGTGGCTGAATAAGAAACGGTAGATGTGACATTTGTAGCTATTGCCAAGTTGACCCAACTTGAATCGGGAAGTTGTCACGGCAGTGGCTTAGATCCGTCATCTCAGTGGACAAAAGCAGGCTCGTGGCGGTACGGGACGGCTTTTTTCAAAGGGTTGAGGGGTCCGTATCTGGTCCAAGACATGTCCATTACGGGGTACTTCGGTACCTGATTTTGATGTGAGCAACGGCCACCACTAGAGAAAGCCCCGTCTGCATTCATTGTTACACCTGCCACTGAGGCGTTCTGTTCCTCAGAGCGCTGAAGACAGTTTTTGTTACAGTGGTGCAAAAACAAGCATAGTCTGATGCGATGCGATCAGCCCCATTGAGCAACAGATGGCCAGAATACGAGAGCAAACTATGACAAAAGAAAAGGCACAGAGTGACGAATCGCCCTAGCCGAGCTGCGTCCAAAACCACGATTTTGTGAAACACTAGGAAAAAGAAAGCAGTACCATGTTTCATGGGTGACGCAAGGGCGTCCAGCCATGCCCCAGGATTCCCAGAGCGCAATTCACACATTTCCCATCTTGACCGGACCCGGATCTAGATTTCGATTTAGTGCATCCCCGCATGCACGGTAGGTAGACCGAGTCGCACATGTCAGCCGCCCAATGCACTCGACTCATTACCCCCCCGTCGCGTCTCTCACTCACCGATGACAAGCGGGGAAATCAATCTGCCTGCCCCTCAGCCATCCAGACATTCAGCTTGCACAAGCGGCCCCAACAAGGCGTTTTTCCCCTCTGCGCATTGGCAAATCGTCCAGTGTACTAGAGTACCAGTGGCTCAGAGGCTCCAAAAAATTGGGTTACGGTCCGGGACATGGTCGAAAAGGAAAAAGACAATCCACATGACAGCTCCAGCTTTCGGGACTAGTAAGGGAAACTCCCAAGCCTCAACAATAGCGCGAGTGCGCGCGTGCGTCGTGACTCACCTGCATCTTGCATCCGGGCCTGCATAATCCAGTCGGTCGAACCTAGCCTTGTCCGCGACATTGTCATCATCAGTCAGAAAAACAATGCCATGGTGTCTGTTTTGGGCTGGACAGGCGGGGGTGGGGTCTTAAAACGCAGGCGCAGCGGGTAAAGCAAAAAACTGCAATCTCGCTGTTGGATTGCCGACGTGCGGATACTGTTTATCTTGATTCCTGTGGAAGGACGGAACTTCGTTCCAGCCATACATCGCGTGCCGATGGTATCGTAGTAGGACGCGATCCTGCAACGGGCGGCCATGGCATGTCTAAGGGTTCACCTCATGATTCAGACGCCGCCGTCGCCTTCCCCTGCAAGCTGGACTAGCGCCGATGGTAGTAGCGCTTGGCGAGTAACTTGTGCTCGCACTTGGGAGCCGATCAGAGGATACGTAATGACATAACTGGGGGGCCTGAATGGCTGTGCAGTATGGTGGCGAAGGACAAGATAGAGAGTTCGTAAATTGAATGTCAACCTATTGGATCGGTTATAGTATTTGTCACATGGCGGCCTGCACATTGTTCCGTGTAGGCTTGAAGTCGTAGAGAGCTGTCGTAGTGCTAATCCTTAGCATATGCCTGCTCCATGGTGATCCTTCTTACGGTTCGTATGTTCCTAATCATCTCTCTCATTATACCTGTGCTTAGCTAGCTTGGGCATATCGATAACATCACGTGAGCCCTCTCGAACAATGAGACATGTCCCACATCTCTGGTATATTTGACGAGACTAGACATATTTCGAAGAATCTACCCCTATTCACTCAATCATATTTTGAGTTTGTTGAGCTAGATGGTGACGTAAATGATCCATTTAGAATATCAGTGTCGACTCGTCACTGTCGAGTAATCCACGTACCAGAACTTCATATTGATATCTTCCAGCTTAAGAATATCATCTATGAGAAGACGGGGTGTGTAGAAAATGTGGTATTTTCTCCGTGGATAAATGTCAGTTTCAGGGGCGTCTTCAACCGCTGTTTGGAATCTCAGGTCACGGCTTGTGACTACAGGGGCGCTACAAAAGCCTTGGCCATAGTTACTGTGACAGCACTAGCTATGAAGACTTGAAAAAGAACAAAGACAATGGCAATAAGCGACATGAATGTGGAACATCATCTCCATCTGACGAAAATAGACACTCCGACTCCGTAATGATCTTACACCTCTCAACCCTGCTCCAACGACCAGATACGGGCTTTTCATTTCTTCCCAGCCATCCAATCCCATCTCCAATTCTTCGTAATTGAGAATATCAACAACTCACCGCTTATCCACCAACATATAACCCTGCACATAGAGATGCCAGAAGAAAGCATTGAACCGCTCTATTGCATGATACATCCAGCAAAGGTCAGCACTAAGCGTGAATGGAATGCCAAGACGCGAGCGGCGGCGCTAACCCGGTCAGCGCAGTGTGCAATAGATTAGACATTGAATGCCGAACACACTTTGGATATCAAAGAAGAAATGTCAACCTTGTGCATATATGCGTGTCAGATTGCATAGCGCATAATAACAAGAAGATCCACGCAGTGTTGAGTTACGATGCAGCAATCCACATACAGTCTAGACTTTGAACACATTAGCAAATCAGGCATCCCAACTACTAGTGGTTGGTGTAAATAAGCGTACGAAACCATAGTCCGTGACGCGCCAGACAAATGGATATACACTGTGTCTACCATCGCATTTTGCCCAGCCAGTCAGCTTTATTCAGACCCCACAAATCCCCAGGATAAGGAGAATTGAGCTGACCACAGCTACTATCTCCAACTCTAAATTGCTACCTAAATCGCAGATCTCAGAAAGCTAACTTGACTAGCGATAAGGACTCGTTCCGAATAAAATAGAACTCTTTGGATACCTCATCATCATCACTAGGAAATAGTACTTTTGCAGACATGGTATACAAATTCATTCATTAGCTACAACTGCCGAGTTCTCCACGTAGTTTGTGTGATCAATTGGTATCGGACCGCGTACATGTGCGACCCTTTTCTTAACTTTCTTACTGCGTGTCTTACGAGACGGACTTTGGTCTGCAAGGAATGCAATGCAAAAGAAAGACCGCGTTCAGGGTGTTGTATAGTGACTTGGTCAAAGTCATTGCTTACATCGGCGCCGGACGTCTGTATAGACCCTGCTTGAAAAAGGTCGTTAGAAACGAAAGAGAACTTGAAGATATTGCTATCATCTCGAAGAAAATGTATACTGGCATCCATTCCAACAACATAAACATTCTTCCTCTCTGTTTTCCTATATACACTCACACATTACCTTGTCTTCTTCTCGATCAACATGAAGAGCTTTACTCTCATCACCCTAACCGCCCTGGCGGCCTTTGCCTCGGCTGCCCCAGCGCAACATGAAGCGCTAGCAGAAAGACAAGTGTTCAGGCCAGGGCCATCACGACCCAGATGTGACTCATGCAACCCCTTGGTTACGACTGTTCAATATAGTCCTAGGCTCAGAGTTGCAACGTTTGTAAGTAACGACACTCTCGTTAAATCTGACCCCACATATGAGAGATGGGGTCTACATGTATTCTAATATTTAAATGCTGGCCTGATTTGTGCAGACCAATTGCATTACTTGCTGTATAGTTTAGGGCTTAGGACGAGAACGAAGGGTACCAAACTGATCGGATGTGAGATACGGTGCTATCCACGAGCAATTGTACATCGCCTCACAGGTTCACTAGAGAGCTAGCTTACCAGCGATTCGTCTTCACCAACAATACATTATCTTCTGCATACTTATCCCCACTCCCGTGTCTGTCGTATACGGACATCTTCCAATTATGCCTTCATGTGATCTTGATGAATCCTGCACAAAGAGTGGAGGTCACCATCAGGCCATGTCCAACATCCAGTCAATGACGCAGCGCCCTCTGTGTGGATGGGTAATATAATAAAACCCGCGATTAGCCACCGCGCCATGCAAAGCACCTTAGCCAAGGACCGCCTGCAGAACAAGGGTTCAGCCACATTACACGTCGAACCCCAGCAGCACCTGCTTTCTCTGGCCCAAAGCCGGGTGCAAGCATAACGTGGCACAAAGATACGCAGCGGCAAGGTACTCGCAGGACGATGCAGGGCCCGCTTGTGGAGAAAGCAAGAGGCATAGGAGGCAGGGAAGGAGGGAAAAGAGTGTGAGTGGAGAACCAACGGAGCGACTAAACTTGATCGATGAAATGCCCTAGAGTCCATGTAACATAGTCTCCGACCACCCCTCCAAGCCCATGATAGGGAACACGACAAAGAAGAAAAAGTAGCGAGCGAGACAGAGACAGAGGCAATGGCGACATGCTAGCTTACACCGACCAGGCCCACGATCGTTACGTAGCATCAATCATTCGGCGCGGAATTTTGCTCCGAACAGAAATAAGAAATAAAAGACATGCCAAAAGCAATCAAGACTTACATGCTGGGCGTCAGCAAAAAGAAACAAAACCGATAGACTGGGTACAACGCAAACAAAATTGTGCACCAACCGCAAACTCAAATGAAGAAAAGAAAAAAAAAACTTCTTGTCGCAAAAAGACTGTTGGCGGGTAAGATGTGTATTGCACAAAAAACGGTCAGATTATGAACCACAGATAGAATCTTGTTCGCTCACCGGACAAAACCCCTGTTGCTCATTTACTTCGACGTTCAGCGTACCTAAAATGACTAGAGCGCAAAAGCAAACCCCTACCCTCCCTCCCCCAAAAGTGGTAAACAAGGGCAACGCCAAAAAGGCTGGACAGTGGCGGCGAAGGAGGGGGAGGCGGGGGAAGCGAAGCAGAGACCCGAGGTAACGATACACAACAAGTACGTTGAGCCGCACAACACGCGGGGGACCCGTCCGCCTGGAGAGCAAAAGAGAGCAAAGAGGCAAAACAGAAGAAGAAAGGCCGGAGTAGATCCGACAGGTCGCAAAGCCCAACCCCCCTCAAAAAATCCAGAACTCCCGGGCAGAATTTCTCAGGTTGCACTATTCGAGTCTATGATTTCTTTTTTTCTCTCCCCCCAACCTGGTAGGCTCTCGCCGCACACGCAAGCGCAAGCTGCCAAGCAAAAGTTGGTCGAATAAAAAAACTTGACCAATTAGATAACGCTAATTAAGAGAGTGGGAGAGGGAAATGCAAGAAAAAAAAGGACTTGTGTGATTCATTCGTAGACAACCCGACAAAATGAAAAGAAGAAGAAGAAGAAGAAGAAGGAAAAGAAAAAGGCTAGCTACGGACAACGACGGATGACAACGCCACAAAAACAAGCTGATTGGGTTTTAAGGTTTGAAAGGGTACGAGAATGGAGGGGGAGGGGGGGGAGGGGCGATATGGAGAGATAGAGAGTAGAGAGTAGAGAGAGAAAGAGGGAAAGAAGGCAAAGCTTGCATATTCCAATGACATGCCTCCCCCCGAATAGCCGAGCCCTTGATTGCGCAAGTCCATGATGCATGGCCTTTGGTGGTCTGAGCGGCGTTGCCGCCGTCCGTTCCCGCATCCGTTCCACGATCTGTTGCAGAACCCATGTACCATGCCTGCTCTTTCGCCGCTTCGAATGCAGGTTGCAAGAGTGGTCCCCCCCTCCCTCCCCCCCCCCAGTCGAACATGCGTGGGCTGCGGTGGGACTGCGCGCTTGTACTCATAAGATGTTGTCATTTGCAGATCGATAAAGCAATCCCTCCGGGATGGGCCTTTTTTTGTGAGACGGACAAAATTTCTGGGGTGCAGCACATGGTGAGACGACTTTGCTTGGTACCTTTCATGGATGCTACTTTGGCTAGGCGCATATAGGCACATGTCCGAACACCAAACGTTACTTGAGCGTAAAAAAATCTTATCTCGCGCAAAACGGGGTGGAGATTACTATTAAGGGAAGGATGCAAAAGGCCTCCGGCTATGTGTTTCGAGCCCCCAAGTAGTGCCTGTCTAGACGTTCCTTGAAAATCCCTACCCTTAGCCCATGCCAAAAGCATAGAGCCTATTCCCTCCAATATACAATGATGCCTACGACTGTAAAGCAATACCACAGGAAAAAAAAGAACACAAATAAACAAGGTGCGGGGAATCTGAGGGGAATCTTGTGCAAAGCGATAACTAAACCACCACTAATGAGACGGATACAACGGGGGGGGCAGCTAATACTTGGAGAAAATTGCAGAAGATAAAAGAGCAGTAGCAAGAAGATGTGACAATCTGACCAAGAGCGGCGCCACTAGCGATGCAATATAGAGAACTCTGCCAGAGTATCCAATCGTCCGTCCTGCTCGCACTGAACCCATGCAATTACTGTCAAGCCGCGAAAGGAAAAAAAACTGGGGAAGTCGGTTCCATGCCAAGCAGAGTAGCATGAACTGACCTTGCGAATATGGTCGCTGAATAGAAGGTGCGTTTCAAAAGTCGCAAATATACGGGAGTTGGAGCCGCCGGGTCCCGGATAAAAGAATAGCTCCCCATACCGCCGGGTCTATGATGCTATTGTATCATCTTCGTTGCTTGGCGTACTCATAACCAGCTCGTGTATCGTAAGGTCATTGTCGCCGATGAGTAGGGGAGCCAAGTGGGGCGCAGGGTTGAATGAGCGTAGTGTGCGAGATGAGACGAAAAGCAAACAGTAGGTGAATATCGTAGCGACTGGCTCTTGGCATGACATGAATCTAAATCAGTAAACGCCGCGGGCTTCCGGGAATCATATCAGTCCAGAGCGAACTAGATGAGTGTCCATGCAATCTCCAGTGACGGACATGGCGTCGCAGTGCAGGGCCTGCATTGCGATTGATGAGGCTAGGCTGGACAGAACTAGCTTCCCCTAGTAAGATGACCATCCTCCTTGTTGAGAGGCCTGAGGTGGTGCCCAGCCAGGCATGCCAGGCTGCTGAGTAGCAGCGCTCTGCTGTTGCATGAATTGGTGAGGGCTCGGGCTAGGCTGGTACGGATTTTGACCCATTGCCTGGTACCCGCTGTCTCCACCAGGCATGGAGCCGCCCATGGCTCCCATGGTCTGGTATTGCTGAACGGGAGTGCCATGCATCGAGGCGCTACTTTGAGCGTGGTGGAGCTGCGGCGAGGCGTGCATCTGAGATTGCTGAGGAAGTGGCGACTGCTGAGGAGGGCGTTGAGCATATTGTTGCATGTTGTGCTGCTGAGAGAGGGGAGATGGCTGTGAAGGTCCTTGCCACATGTGCGATGGTGGATAACCATGCCCCGTGGTCTGTTGGACGCTGGGGAGCATACCTCCAGGCCCCATGCTTGAGGCGTTCATTCCTTGCGGCATGCCGATGCTCGGTGGTCGACGGTGCATCTGGTCCGGTCGGAGCGGAGTGTGCTGTTGAGCCATGGGTGATGGGACCATGTTGTTCTGGGGCATGGTTTGCGGGCGGTAAGGTTGCGCACCCATGGACTGCCCTGGTCTTTGTGGCGTCTGTGCTGGCATGCCGTATTGACTTCCTGGCATGGTCACAGATGTCGAGGATATGCGCGGAGACTGAACAGCCTGTGAGACTTGTGGAGCATGCTCTCCCTCGGCGGTTCCTGGGCGGTTCGGCTGCACCGGCGGCTCATGTGGACGTGTCCAGACGTCGTTCAGGTACTCTTTTCGGTTCTTACGTTGCTGTTCGAGCTGCTTGTTAACCTCGGCCGTCTGCGCAGCTGCATTGAGGATCTCGCCAGATGGGCTTGGCCTCGTCATGTCTTGGTAGGGGGTACCCTGCAGTTCGTGCCGTGGGCGTTGAACACCACTGTAGTCCCGAGGCTGTAGGTCGGCGGTGGCTCGGTGACTGTATGCATCCGGGGCTGTGGTCGGCATGCTTCCTGGAGCGGGGTTGAGACCACCAAATGGCTGCAGAGGATTGATTGCAGAGCCTAGATAATCTTGATTGTTACCCGTATAGGCTCCAGGATGGGCAAAGGCCATGGCGTTAGCGTGGTTGGCTTCGGCGGCGGCTGCTTCTCTTGCCTTTGCTGCGCCAGGTCTCTTTTCTCCTGCAGCATCTTCCTCGGTGAAGCCTTGTTTCCTAGCCTTGCTCTCCCAGTAGTCGTCGCGTACGCGCCGTCCGTTGACAATCAGTCTGCTGCCAAATTGCCTGAACATGGAGCGGGCGGTCACGATGGCAATCTGCCTGGAACGGTAAGAGTAAGGAAGAATTTCCTGGTGAATAAGGTCATCCTTTTCGGCCTGGGTGGCAATGATCTTGTACAGCGATCGGTTCTTGTTAAAGAGTAGATACGAGTCTCGGTATCCCAAAACGCGTGCGCACTCAGTGGCAAGCATGAAGAGCTTGTCAGCTCGGTTGGGCACAAAGAAGGTACGGCATCGGTATTCGCGCCCATCAAGCGGGTGGCCGGTTTGCGTCACCTTTCGCTCTCCCGCCTCGTCGATTTCGCGCGGGATGTATTCGTCGCCTTCTGCATTGAGCTGATCAGTCGTATGGTCGCGCACAGTGGGCAGCGCCTTGATGACTGTGGGCTTGGCGGGCGTCGCTTTGGCAGGTGGCGACGCTTGGGGAGGGGAAGCTTTAGGCAGCGATGTAGCCTGCAGCTGGGGGGTTTGCACGGGCGGCGCAGCGCCTGAGTGCTGCGATGGAGTCTGCGGAGGTTGGGAGCCGCGGTTGGGAGAGCCGCCATACGGGGGTCGCGCGGCGGCGCCCTTTGAAGGGCGGCCACGACTGCGCTTGTTGTTTGGAGTGTCGTCGCCCTGCAGCTCGTAGCTGGTATCGGGGGAGCGACTGCGCTTCAGGCCGCGCGATTGTTGCTGTTGCTGTGCGACAGACTGTGGGGGGCCGGAGAAGACATCTGGCCAAGGTCAACAATTACTCGCGGGAGGCTGCGTCGGATGTAACAGAGACGCGCAGGCCGGTGCGAAGGAAAAGGGCAGCTGTGAGGGGGGGGGAGGGGACGCGACTACTTACGCGACGGGTCAATGGTACCGGAGTCCATGATGCCGTTTCCAATGCCACCATTTGACATGATTTGTATGGGCTGTTGCACATGCACTGAGTACATCCAGGCGGCGCGGGAGCGACCGAGCTCGAGGGAAGCTTCCGTCGAGCGTCGTGAAGCTCAGGGAGGTCGGGCCCAATCGGCGCAGGGAGGTTAGTAGGGCTAGGCGCACAACGGGCTTGAGCTGTGGGCGGCGGTCATGTGCTGGTTGGTGATGGAGAAGGACGGGGTGTCGATGCGGTCGAACCAAGATTGAGGTTGGGGCGAGAGAGGCGAGGGCGAGTTGGAGGGCGCAGGTGGGGCCAAGGCTCGGACAAGGGCACGCGCTTCGTGTTTTGGCCAAAGCAGCGAGAGGCCGAGTTCAAGTACGGGCAAGTGTGGGCAAAGGCGACGGCGTCTACTTGTTCGATGCACGAACAGGTGGCACAGCCCAGGATTGCGGAGGAATATGTAAAAAAGGCACGGGTTGGCGACGGCGACGGTCCGCGCGTGCTGATCGATAGACACTAACAAGGCGTTAAGTTTGAGTTTCAGGTGTTGGCGCAGAACAAAAGTGCGTCGCGCGCCCGGTCGCGGTGCGCGATCAGTGCCCGTGGACAGGAGCCGACGGTGGAGCAAAAAGACGCCACGTGAGATGCAACCCAAGGCGTGTGTCTGCGAGCAGCCGCTGTAAGGGTGACTTGCAGCACTCGAGCGCGCGCGCGTTGCGTTGCTGGCTAGGGCGGGATGGGTCCTGGGGCGGGAGCGCGACCAGGCCGGGCAAGCAGGGCAGCTCGCTCGCACGCACGCACACACACACACATACACACACATACGCGTGCACACAGGAACGAGTGTACGAGCACCGGAGCGAACGGCTGGGGGATTTGGGGGGATGGGGGGTGGGAGCAGACGAACCTTTGGCAGCGACAGGCTGTCTAGCCAGCGACGACGACTGGGGGGCCGCGGCGTATGTAGGAGCAGGACCCCGGGCGTGGTTGGCAGAGGGATATGGACGGATAGGGATGGGGATGGGGAGGGGAATGTAGAGAGCAGCGGAGCGTCGTCGTGGGCGCGGCTATTCTGGCCGAGGGGACAGAGGGCAGACAGAGGCTGGGTGGCAGCGAGGCGGGCAAGAGGCGAGCGGCGAGAGGCGAGAGCAGAGGCCCGGCCGGGTGTGCGTGTGTGTGTGCGGACGGAACTGGAGCGACGCCCTCTGAACTGTGGTCACTTACGAAAGATGGGCGAGGCCCAATCTGATATGCCCTTGTCCGCCAGCAGCTGACGGCCCGCACGGCGGAGACAAGACGTCGTCTAGTGAGCAAATGGCACGCAATGACGACGGCGACAAGCTTCAGGCATTAGAGGCGCTGCAGTGTGATAAAAAGTGGCTCTCCTACGGCCCTGCACGACCCGGTGGCTTTTTCGCTGCTACTGCTAGGAGCTGGCCTGCTGGGCAGACGCGCCCATGCCGCTGCCTGTGCTTTCTTCTTGTTCTTCTTCTTCAACGGAGCGGAACAGGATTACTCGCATCATGCTGCGCGATAGCGACCGCTAGCTTGGATCTCCTTCCTCCTGCTCGACGGCCCAGTCTCCACAGCGCCTCTGGGCCAAGCACCCGACCACGCCGGCCCTGCTGCCTCAGCTCACCATGCCGCCGATAGTAGCAGAGCGCGTACGGGATGCAGTAGCACTATCGCGGCTGATGCTCCCTATCCTTATCCGTATCCTCCTCTTCTTCCTGTTCCATCCATATTGCGCCGCGATCCATTCTCAGCTTGCCCGCCCGTGGCCATTGCCCAGAGCTGCCTATCATGGCCGCTTCCGGCTGCCGACGCGACCACGGCCGCCCGCCAGCTCTGAGCGGCCATTGCGACCAGTTCGCCCTAACCCACCCATGTCGGCCAGTGAGCACGCCTGTCCACCTGCTGATGGACCGTCTCCCAGCAAGGCGAGCAAAGTGTCAGCAGGCTGCCGTCGAATCATTGATTTTGCACATCCATGGGCCTGCAGCCCGCCCAAGACAGGACTACCCTGGATACGTGCATTGGCGTCCGCAGTCATGCATCTACCTTTCTCCTTCTATCAGTCAAGCCGTATCGTCTGACTTGCTCCCAGGCCCAGAGGGAAACACTTGCCGCAGCAGCCGAATGCGGAAGCCCAAGTTTATTGCTGTGGAGCTGCTCAAACCCGCGTTGCCCTTGGCTTGGCGCTGTTCAATATCATTTCCTGCTGCCTTGCCCGTCGCATTCCCGCGACCCCGACCCTGTCTCTCTGTGCCTCTTCTGACAAGGCTACGCTGATCGCCGAGCTTGGATGCGTATTGCATTTTCCTCTACTAAGTATGTATTCCCTAGCCGGCTGCGCCGTCGTCGTCGTCTAGTACGCGTAGCGCCCTCGCCCGGCGCTTGGCCTATGAGCGCCCATGGAGCGCAGCCTGCTCGACGCCATTCCATGACTCCGGGTTTCCTGTTTGCCGTTCGGCCCAAGCTCCCCACTACTCAACGCTGCCTCTGATTCGAAATCGCATCCCCCATGCCCTATGGCCAAAAAACCAAAAGCCCTCTTTATTTTGACTCGGCGATCTGTTCCACAAAGCGACCCGCTCTCCCGCTGAACAAGGGCACTGGTCGAATACCCCGGCAACTTTTTCTCTGCCCGTGCTGCACCCGATCCCCACCGTGCTACCTTGTCCGTATCTGACCGTACAGCCTTTCCGCAGCTCGCGTCACTGTCCTAGCGGGGGTCATTACGCCATGCTTGCCTTACTTACTCCACTATATCAAGTGCTCTCTCTAACGACCCTAAACCCGGTCTGTGCTGCTCGACGTCCACATGGCCTGAAACTGCGCGAAGTAACAATCTCCATCCAGATGCCACAAGATCTCAACCGTGCTGTCTCGTCCAATGCAAATGCCTGCTCCCCGCTACGGCTTCTTGTCCCGCACAGCGGCCCTGCTCATTGCCTTCATTGCTTGTCGTCTCTTGCCTCTTGACGCGTTCCCGGGAGGCTGTGCCACAATAGTCCCATGTCTTAGACCCTGAGGCAAATGTTTTGTCATCTGCCTTGTTGCCCTGCAGGTGCAGGGTCTTGCCACTAATCTGGAAGTATTACCATTCTTTGTCTGATCAAGCGTCCTCGCATCCGAACTCGGTCCTCATCACTGGGGCTCTGGAGAAACAATATACCAGAGCATCCGGTTGGTGGCTAATACCTACTCTCCATTGAGTGATTTCCACAAAGTGCGCCGTCGCTTGTATCCACTCCTTTCGTAACCCGGAACTACCACATGAGCGGAACTTGGAACCCGTTCTCTATGGCTCTCAATCTCCACAGCTGCAATGCGTCCTATGGGCGCGAGCGTCAAAGTCGCCACGGGCGCCTTACCTGAATACCACGTCGTCCTTGTTGAGCCGGCCCAAGACCTTGCTCATTACGCTACTAAACCCGTACACCGCTGTCATGACATCTGTAGCGCGCACATTGCAAGGATTAGTTGAAACATTCCATTGTGAATCATAGTCATAGGCCCAATCGACTGCTTGGCGGGGCACTGCTGTTGAGCTAGGATAGCTGTTTGATCATCATATGACAGCTCTATCCACTGTGCTGGATCGCAACAGCAACAGAAACCACACACGATGACGGGGCCACGGTCAGTCTCGACTGGCATTGCAGTCGACGGATGCAACCGTCCTACGTCGTCCCGTGCAATCGTTTTGTTTTCCATACCTCGTTTCATATTCCCGGCTTGTTGGGATGTAATTGACAGGACCGCTTAACGAGCGAGTGTGTCCGTTCCCGCAACCGTCAAATGGAGCACTCGAAGCCAAACCCTATGTTTGGCTTCTAGTTTGGCTTTCGGTATGGGAGCCGACTGCTTCGGGACCATACAGCTTCAGTCGTGAAGCTTACATGCTCTTCTTCTTCGGCTCCTAGAACACCGAAGTAAAAACAATTTGTTTCAAAAAAACATCAAAAGTCCATGCCATTCTGCTCTTTTGAGGCGTCGTCATTCGCGTAACCATGCCATCTCCGACTCTTCACGGGGATCTACACGCACATGCTTTTGTTGTCATGCTGTCTAGACTCCCAAATTTGGTCGCATCTGAGTTTTGAAACAAACAAGACAGCACAAGCTAATACTCTCGGCATCTTCCCGAGCATTTTGTGAGATAGAGGCCGCACATGCACTATCCTTGGACGGAACCCTGCCTCTTCGGAGCTTCACGTAACCCTGCAGTCTTGTTCTAGTATCCTTGTCGGGGCGATTTGCAGGCTAGACGTCAACTACAATCGAATAGTGCCGCGATCCGCTCCAAAGTGGGGAGGTGCGGCGAGGCTGCATCAACAAGTGAAAGCGTTGCAGCCAATCACCATACTAAATCAACGGTTCTCTCCAGCAACAAGCGGTCAGGCGCTACTGGTTGCGTGAAGGCTTGACAAGACCAGGGCGGTTATCGCATTTACCCATCCATAGGTGTCAGATGATCATCCACAACACCCGCAAATGTCTTCGTCAAAGAGCGTGATGGCTGATGAAGCTGGTCGTGTCTAACGTAGCACTCATGCGTGCTGTCTTTTGATTCCGCCTAGGGCGTCTCCTTCAATCCATGGGACCTAGACGGGGGTCACTCATGCATTGACCCTGACGGGTAGAGTACGAGGTGTGGGAATCCCTGAGTTATCGTGCCCACCCACAACACGTGGAGCCTTGTTATGACTTCTGCAACGAAAAAGAAAACGTCTGCTTACTTACCACCGTCATCAATTTCAAGATGAGAATCTGACTTTTCGGTCCCAATGTCGTATACTTAGACAGGGAAACTGCCAGCTTGCGTAGCCAGTAGGGGACAGGGTTAGACCAAGCATTGCGGCTGCAGATCAATGAATCTCCGAAACAGTCCCTTTTGGTGCATATGTCTTTTTCCAGACAAGTCATCATCGGTCTGTATCACGCTCAGACTATCCAGTCAAGAGAACAGACATGGTCAAATCTCCAAAAAAAGCAAGATTGACACGTCTTTTTGTTGATCAGTAACTTCAAGGCATCCAGTTTCTGCATGTCTGTCTCGGAGCGACAAGCTGCAGAACCCCTGTCGATGAATTGGTAGTGGTAGTGCTCCCGCAGAGGTGCACCTTTCACACGGAATCTCTGGATTGGACAGACGGCAGGAAAAACACAGGCACCTACATTTGCATGCCACTGCGCCACATCCCCTGCAAGTGCGAACCAGATATGTGTAATGTGCTGTACAACAATGGACTTACGCGTCATTTCATAGAGAAAGTAATGAAATACGCCAAGACTGATAATATCCAAATGACGGCGGACATGATCGCATCATTAGATCATGAGGTAGGTCGATGCTGAGACATTGACTGAAAGGTAAAATTTTGAAGATGTTGAGGCTGGAAGCGAGGAAAGACGGTGAGAGGAAGCTGCGGCAGGTGCTGCAGACGATCGATACCGATGTTGTTTAGGGAAGGCACACGAATGCAGGCGATCAGCTGAACAACACAATACTGAGCAAGCATACTTAGATGAGGTCTAGAAGGTATGCAGAGACCGAGACTGCAGAAATATGTCTACGACGCGTTAGTATTCACCTTGAGCAAATATATATTTCACGTGACTGTATATACGACGTCAGCAGTCGCAAAGTGTTTGATGCTGACGGTACCGGGGCAATTGTTGGCTTCACTCTTCTTCATCTTCGATAGCATCGACTTAAAGATTTGAAAAGATTCTGCCAATGGCTTCTTGATGTCAGATTTGTATTCATTATCTTGTAACCAAGGATTTACATACACCAACTTGGTTCCATCAAAATCGGTGTCTTTGTTGTTAATAACGCCATTGTAACGCCATCAATTTGAAAATGCATAAGCTGTTGGTATCGTATGGTCAGGCTAGAGCTCGCTTGCCTGCCTCAAATTATGAATCGTGTCTTGCCTGAAAAGCCATCAAACCTAGGTTCCGAAGCAAAAAGAAATCGCCATTGGGTTGGTTTACTTGCGGCCGGGTGCAAGACCGGGAACTGCACTAAAACGTTCGTCACGTTCAGTCTTGAACAGGACCTGGCACCAAAATTCCTTGGCGTCTTCGTCATACCAAAACCAGAACTTGCCCTCTCTCCTGTCGATATCGCGGGACTGCAACTTGACCGCAACAGTCTCATATGGCTCTCCGGCAACAATGAGATACTGGTAGTTTGGGTCGGGTTCTTCAACCCTCTGCTCGTATGCGCTCATAATACGGACCTTGGGGGTTACGCCAGGGGTGAGATCCGGAAATTGGAACTGGAATAGCAGCCCGTTCTGACGCGTGTTGGGGTCGCGTACTTTTGTGATGTGGTATCCGGGCCGCCCGATCTTGATAACGTTCTTCTTGGGCACCACTCCAGCAAGCAATCCTTGCTGGCCGACATCGTCCCTTTTCCCTTCTCTCTGCTCCTTTGCAGCACGGCGTGCCAGGTTTGTTTGATGCTTCCTTCCTTGTGTATGTGCGAGATATGAGCCATCGTTCTGATGGACTGTCAAGCAGAGACGGCACTCGAAGCTACCGACGTGGTTCTTGAAAAAGTAGGGGTCCTTGTCGAGGTCAATCGTCTCGAGTGCAAGCTTACGGAGACGTTCTCTTCGATCGGCGTTCGTCGCGGACTGTGAGGCAACGCCTCCTCCACCAAACTTGGAACCTGCGCGATTCTGCGCGAGTTAGCAGCTGCTTTCAACTTTTTCTTGACGTGTGAACATACCTGGTAATCCATACTTGATCGCTCTCAGAGAGGTTTTTTGGTCAATCCAAAGAGCTACGAGGGGTTTAGATACTATACTATTACGCGACTTGTGTTTGCTGAGTGCAGAGGGTTATGCAGTGAGGCGCGTCGGTCGTGTATGTACTATGCGCAAGTCAGGACTTCTCGAGGCGGCGATCAGGTACCGCGCTAGCGAGGCTCCACTTGCCACATCACGTGCACGGCTGCCTTATACCTTCATCATGGAACACCCAAATTTGATGCCTACGATAGTCAATCTGCATTAATTCTAGGACGAAAGTTAAAACTCTCCAAAATCACTCCGGATAGACTGACAGCTTTGCCGGCATAGCATAAGGAGAAGGACCACGTAAATATTATCAAAATTACAGTACACTCTTAACGTTGCTTCACTGGTCAACATCAGGGTCAGCAATGACAACAGATATATATCTCGGTAAACGCCTTTCGTATGCTTCCCACCTTTGTACGGTTCGTTATCACGGCCCCGTAGAGGGAACCACCGGTACATGGCTTGGAGTAGAATGGGACGACCCTACTCGTGGGAAGCACTCGGGCTCGCACCAAGGCACTCAATACTTTACATGTTTAAATCCCTCTCCGACCTCTGGATCATTTATCCGACCAGCCCGCAAGCCAGACCCGCCACGTTCTTTTGTAAAGGCACTCAAAGCAAAGTATGCGTCTGAAGAGGAAGAGGAAGAGCACGGGGAAGAAGGACCCCAGGACCCAGATGTCCAAGTCGTGTTTCATCTCCAGGCATCGCATAAACAACAGGATCGGAAGCCAGTAACTTTCAATGGAAAGCCAGCAGAGGAAATCGGGTTCGACAAGATTCGACGACAGCTCGCTCAGCTGTCGGAATTGCGGATTATCATCTTGGATGGGCTATGTATGCATCGTCCAGAAGCACGGGGCACGAAGTGGATGGAAGGTGGCGAGAAGAACGACATAAAGGACGCTTGTCCAAAAGCCATCGAACTAGATTTGAGCAGGAATTTGTTTGAGGATTGGAGAGAAGTGGCAGCAATATGCGAACAATTGACAGAGCTGAGGAGTTTGAGGGTAGAGTAGGTTTTGCCCTTTATTTCATCACTACACCCATAGTTTAGGCAGCATGCTAATAGAAGAGAACAGTGGCACACGTTTCCGAGATGTAAATCTTACGGACGTGGAACAGGAAAGGTGCCGAAAAGCCTTTACACGTATAACGTCTTTGAAGCTAGAAGACACACTTCTTCCCTGGGCAGACATAGCACGACTTACTCATCTCTTCCCTTCTCTCACCACGTTTTCCGCCTCGAGCAACCTCTATACAGCACTCACGCCACATACACCCAATCCAACAATCATCAACCTTACACTCGAAGACAATCACATCACATCCCTTTCATCCATCGAATGCCTATCGAAGCTACCAAAACTCCAACGGCTGATTCTGAAATCCAACAAAGTCTCAGAGATATCCAGCGCTGGCGCATTGGCACCGCTGTTCCCGAAAACAGTGCGAGAAGTTGATCTTTCATTCAACGAGATAACGACATGGAACTTCATCGAGCAACTCATCCACGTCTTTCCCGGTCTCCAGAGCCTGCGAGTCTCGCACAACCCCCTTTACCAATCGCTCCAGGCACCAGATGGCCGTTCTCTGACTGCCGATGATGGGTACATGCTTACGCTTGCGCGACTGGGGCAGCTCAAGACGCTAAACCATAGCCCGATCACCGAAAAAGAGCGGTTAAACGCAGAGTCTTACTACCTTTCCATGATAGCAAAGGAGCTTCAGTTTGCATCTGAGAACCTGCGAGAGGAAATCTTGAAAAGCCATCCGAGATACGAATGGTTGTGCGAGGAGTATGGTGAGCCTGATATCCAGCGCTCTACGAATGCTGTGAATCCAAACTCCTTAGCTGCCCGGCTGCTTCGCATCAAATTCTATCTCGCAACCTGTCCATCTACAATTTTTGAAACGGAGATTCCAATGGGCAGTACTGCATACACCACGCTTGGTGTTGTAGGCAAGCACCTCAACATCAAGCCTATCAAATGCAAATTGATCTGGGAAACTGGTGACTGGATTTCGGTACGCAAGTCCGCTACGGAAATTGTGGAAGATGATTGGGATTCAGAGGATAGCGAGGCGGAAATGGGCATGGAACGTGTGATGCGTGAAGTAGAGATCTTGCCTGGCACAAGGTCGATTGGGACGTGGATCGATGGGATGGAGGCTACTGTCAGGGTCGAAGTGCATTCAGAGGATCTCTGAATGCTGCTGCGGCATAAAAACTTGGGGTGTTGGAGTTTGCTGGAAAGCGGTCTTCGTTCAGCGGAACCACCAATTAACCTAGCATTTACACTTAGTATATGACATGTAAAATAAGTCGGTATACCTACAGAAGCATTTGCGCCCTTCCCAATCCCCCTAACGGCATGCCACCATCCTAAAGGAATGTATAGTGCATCGCCGGCTGTGAGAGTCGTCTCCCATCCCTTAACCCCACCCTCATTCTCATCCCAAACGGCAGTCTCAAGGCCCTCCATCTCCCTCCCCTGCATCATCTCTGTACCCCTCATGTTCGCATCACCAGCAGCTCCACGTATCTGCTGCCGCACCCTCTCAAACACGCCTCTTCCAACCTCAGGTGTCATCATCCTGACCTTCTTCTTACCTGCCAATTGCACAAAGAGATTTGGATTCGGATCCCGGTGCAATGGGGTACGAGTCGGCGGTCTACCCATCCAAAGACTCGAAGCATAGATATCGCCACGAGCTTTCAAGCATGTTAGGAAAGTCAATGGCGTGGGCAGGTCTTTGTTCAGTTCCGCTGGAAGATCTTCTAACGAATGTTGCGCGAGGTAAAGGCGTACGCCCTGGTCGTCCATCGCGCCCATGTGCGCCAGAAGAAGGGAGAAAGGCGCTTCGATGCGATCGAACGTCTCGTTCTGCGTATTGTGGACGGATGGTCGCGTTACTTCTAGCGGCACAATTGCGTTGCCATGCTTTTCCAAATACGCTAGATTGAGCTCCTGAAGATATCCAGGATGATCATTACTCGAAGTGAACCATTTCTTTTCCGCTGGAAAATCGGAGAATGCGGATCTAAAGACTGCGGGTTTATTGGCGTCGAATCCAGGTATGCTGAGCTTCTTTGTGTTGTTCACATATTCCAGGGCTTCCACTGTGCTGAAGCGCTTTGTTTCGGACGAGTATGATCGCACGAAGGGCTTCGTGAAGAGCAGTGGTCGAAAGAGTCGGAACATGAAGGTTTTGATTGAAGCAATGACGGCATGTTAGTTCTCATCTGTGGGAGAGCTTGCCCCACAGAAGCTTGCCCCACCACACCATTTCCTCTACGCATTTAATCTCCCTTATATATATATATATATATTTCTTTTGGCCGTCTATAGAGAGTGTAAAGAGGGGGCTGAAGTAATTATTTACTACCTATATATAAAGGGAAGATATGTAAATATATGTAAACATAGCCGCCAATCTTATTTACAAAGCTACGTGGCTTACATAGTAACAGCCTACCTCTCTTCCCTGATAAGATTGTATGAACTCACCTCCCAACATATCCTTCTTAATTTTTTTTCTTTCACATACGATCATCGGAAGCTGGCAGCAGGAATCTCCGTCAGATTATTCGTACTTAAGCAGTTTACCGGCGGATTAGTAGCCAGGCGGGTGGCCACTGGTGAATCCCCGCTATTGTATGTTTTTGGATCTTTTTGCATCTAGAAACCTGAGTCACATAGATCGAGTATGGCATGTCAGGTTTTTCACAATGTCCGAAGTTCGTCACAAATACCTCCATCTCAAAGACCTATTCATTTCTAAAAGCAACACCTAAACAATAATCTATTTATTGTTTAGCCAAGACCTCTCTCTCCTCTTGGTATAGAGGAATTTGAGACCTGAGAGTGTATTCATCCATTGTTTCAAGAAGCGGGGTGTGCCCTTTGTTTTGAATGTCGCAGTTTAGGATCTGATTATTCTAGCATTAGAAAGTCAGAAGAGAAAAAAAGGAAAGCTTCGGTAAAGAAGAGTTTTGTTTGACAACCTTGTATTCTAAGAACCAAGAAGATCCAATACAAAACCACATTCGTATAAATGTAGTTATGCACGATACTATTTTCATACACATTGCAGTATGTCGACCTATAAACAGCGTAGATATATTTCACATGAACATTGTGTGTTGAAGACACTATCAGCATTCAAATCAGAAGGCATGGCTGATCATCACAAGAAGCCAAAAGGGGGGTACAGGACGAGGACATGAAAGAATGTTGATGAGAGATGCTGGGTACTAATATACTGGACTATATGGTACTGTACGGTGGAGGAGATACTGGTGGATAATGCGTGAATATTTGGTAGCCAGAGTACTGTTGCATACTTCGTCTGACGCCAAAGATGTACACGGACAAGCACTTGAACACGCTTCTTACTGCTTCGCGAAACAAACACCGGCTCAGTTTAAACCCGTTACCTGACGGGCAACTCAGTCTTGGACTCGAAGCTGTACCGAAGCCACTCGCCAACAGCTCTCAAACTCTCCCATCGCACGCTCTCGTCCGCCTCTTGCATCAGCTCCATAACTCTGCCCTTCAAACCCAACTTCTCAAGCTGCTGTCGCTTCTCTGGTACCTCCTTGACCAAGTATGCAACATCATTGCATCCAATTGCCAAAACCTGCTTGTCATTTTCCCAACTCTTTGACAAAATCTCGGCAAGCTTCTTAGGTAGTTCGCCCTTGTTCTCTTCCAATATGCGACGTGCATTATCTCGCCAGAAAGTAGGGTTGCGATGGGGCGGGGACCAGCGAAGGTGACCAGAGTGGAGCTCGGCTGCGTATTCGTCAAATGTAGTTTGAGTTTTGGTGTACTCGTCGAGCAGCTCGTTCAGAGTCTGCAAGTCCTCGAGGGCATCCTCGTCGGTCAGATGACGTGACTTCAGGCTTGTTAGGAGAGAAGGCAGGCGAGCAAGGACGGCGGTAGGAAGCAAAGTTTGGCGGTTCGTGGTTAAGAGGTTGACAAGCGTGGAAAGAAGCAGGCGTGTGGTCTTCTCCTTTGGCGAGACCTTGAGGAGCTGTGTGTATAGAATGACGATATCGTGTTCACTGTAGCTGTTAGTGGGTGGGGAGGACGGTGGGGGCGGGGATAAAGCGCACTCTTGAAGACCCTCTCCAACTAGCTCGCCCTCAAAGCTGAGCTGCCAGATGACAAGAAGTACGTGGTAGAGCAGTTGGAGGCCAACACCACCTGAGATGGCGCCATCAGCTGTGCTACGGATACTAGCGCCAGCGCTGTATAAGGTTGAGTCCGTATCCTTTGCAGATCCCGCAGCAGCGCGCAAAATGTCAAACAGAGGGTTCAAGGTTTCTTTCCTGTGCTCCCAGAAGATATGCCTAGAGCGCTTGCTGCGCAGCACGGCAGAGTATTGGCGCACGGCAATGTCCTGCAGGCTGGCGTCGGAGGCTTTTGCCAGTGTCGAGAGGTAGGAGAAGAGTTGAGCGAGGGCCTCGTCAAGCTGGGGAGTGGTCTTGGAAGACTGGGTGACGGCGTGTGACAGCAGACCAGACAAGACCGATGAAGTAAGCAGCGGCACAGGGTCTTCGTTGCTGGACGAGGCTTTGAGAAGCGGGAGGAATGGCTTGTAGGGGGCCGGATGCTGTGCCAGGGCCGATGTCAAGGCGGGAATATCTGTCGCCATGAGCTTCACGTTGTAGGCAGCAGCATAAGAGCAGCATGCGTACCATCAATCATATCACCCAGCAGGACGAGCATGTAGTGGATGATGTCCTGGCGCTTGGCGGCTGCCTCGAAGATGCTCTGGGAGCCATTGCCGCCGACAAGTAGAGCAACAAAACCGTCGACGTCAGCCTCGATGGTCTGCTTGCGCTGCTCCTTGCGGACCTTGTCGATGGACTTGATCTTCTTGAGGTCGGCGTCGGTGATGGTCTTTGCGCGCACGGCGCCCTCCCACGAGATGGGGCGGGCACGGATGTTGTTCTGGATCGACGTCAGGTAGGCGGGCGGGTCCGGCGAAGACATGGTGGGCGTGCAGATGCAGCGGCGGGAGGGGTGGTGGGCGATGTGGAAGCTTGGAGGTTGGGTTGGGGAGCTTGTATCAATGTAGTAGCTCCTCTGCACCTAACGACTTGCATACGCGGGCCCACCAAGCTCCGTCATCTGGCGTGCACTCAGCTAGCTTGAGCAAGGGCCCACCGCTTGCCGGTCTTGGCATCAATCTTTCGCAGACTACTATTCACTCCCACGCCCACGCCCACGCCCACACCCACAACTACACCCACACCCGCAGTCACACGCCCCGGCTGCACAAAATTGCACATGGAATACTTTAGTCTCAAGCGCTCCACGGCTGCCGACCGCGGCCAATCAAATCTCTCCAGCAAGGTCTATGTGCGATCGACAAAAAGCGGCAAAGTCCAAAAAATTGTCAGAGAGCTCTATCTACGACAGGACATTCCCTGCTCATCGACCCTTTGCAGAGCATGTCTCGAAATTGCGCCCACTGACTACTCCAAGAAGAGTTTGTTGACCACAGCACCTTTTCACGTGCAGTCTCACACTAACCCGTTTCAGCATCTCCTTTCGTTCTGTCCGACACGCCAGCAGGATCAAAGCATTTTCCCAATGGCCAGTATCTAGTTCCAGACACAAATGCCTTCCTCACGGGTATGGACCTGTTTGAAGTCGAAACCGCCTTCCATGATGTCATTGTGCTCCAAACCGTGCTTGAGGAGGTTAAGAACCGCTCGCTGCCGCTCTACCACCGCTTGATATCTCTGACCAAGAATGAGGGCAAGCGCTTCTACGTCTTCTTCAATGAGTTCAGGCAAGAGACACATGTAGCACGAGAGCCTGGCGAGACGATCAATGACCGTAATGACCGGGCAGTGCGCAAAGCCGTCCAATGGTACAACCAGCACATCACAGACGCTGTCAAAGCACGAAGCAAGTCGCAGACTCGCATCCCTACCGTCGTCATGATTACTGATGATAGGGACAATTTGCGCAAAGCCAAGAGTGAGGGTGTGCCTGGTCTGACATGTGAGTCTCCGGCGCAATCATGGCTGCACAACGCTAACCTCTATGCCTAGTATCCGACTTTGTTTCCGGCCTGGAAAACTCTGATGAACTTCTCGACATGATCAGTGCTGCGCAAGAACAGCGCGAAGTCAGATCAAAAAAGGCAGAAGTCTTCTACTCGGAGCACTACTCCGTCTCAAAAATGATGACGGGCGTAAAAGCCGGCACCTTACACCAAGGCATCTTCAACGTTTCACCATACAACTATCTCGAAGGCTCTGTGCATGTCCCCGCTTTCGACAAGTCACTCTTGATCCTAGGACGCGAGAACAGCAATCGTGCGGTTTCTGGCGATGTTGTCGTCGTCGAAGTCCTGCCTCAAGATCAATGGAAAGCACCGTCTACAAAAATTATCGAAGAGGAGACAGTGAACAAGAACGACAACGCTGAGGCAGAAGAAGGAGAGAACGTTATTCCCGAGAGGGAGCGACGAGCATTACAAGAGGAGGTAAAACGAGTCCACGGACAGAGCGCAGAAGGACGGCCACAGCCGACAGCACGGGTTGTGGGTATCATCAAGCGCAACTGGCGACAATACGTCGGCCATATCGACCGCGACTCGGTTCGCTCTTCATCAAAGTCAAGTAGACAACAACAAACTGTCTTCCTCGTCCCCATGGACAAGCGCATACCCAAGATCCGTATCCGAACACGGCAGGCTGGGGAGCTTCTTGGTCAGCGTGTTCTGGCAACCATCGACTCCTGGGAAAAAGATTCACGGTATCCGGTCGGCCATTTTGTTCGATCACTTGGTGAACTTGAATCAAAGGGCGCAGAAACCGAGGCTTTACTGCTCGAGTGGGACGTGCAATACAAGCCATTCCCCAAGACAGTCTTGGATTGTTTACCTGCCGAAGGCCACGACTGGAAAGTACCCGCCAACATGGACGATCCGGGTTGGAGAGGGCGCAAGGATCTTCGCGACCTTTTGGTCTGCTCTATTGATCCTGTCGGTTGTGTTGATATTGACGATGCTCTCCACGCCCACAAACTGCCGAACGGCAACTACCAGGTCGGTGTTCACATCGCCGATGTATCACACTTTGTCAAGCCGAATAATGCAATGGACAAAGAAGCCAGTCAGCGTGGAACGACAGTATATCTAGTCGACAAGCGCATAGACATGCTTCCCATGCTTCTTG